AAAAAATGGAGATGAGCAACTCCCCTCCCCCATAACTTGAAGTGATATCCCAATAAAAGAACTGAAATTAGCAAAGGGTTTGTGTGTGTGTATATCAGAGAAATATGGATGGATTTTGTGTTCTTTTGAAGGAGCAGATTCTTATTTTGGTGTTTTGGTTTACCACCCAGATCAGTTTCAGTTGAAGAATCGGGATGCCTCCTGCAGGAATACTGGGTTCTAGCCATTTCTGGCCATGTTTTTTTCTATCTTGATTGCAAACTCTGGGATCTGTTGTCCTGCTTATTTGGAAGGGCACCCGTAGGTAGATTAATAATGCAAAATGGATGGAGTTTAAAATATTTTTCTTTTTTTGTGGGAGTGAGTGGAGAAAGTTGGAAGGGAGAGATCTTGTTTTATAAATAAATAAATAAATGATGTACATTTATTTGTGTTTTCCACCTCAAAATGGCCCCTGGCACAATTGCAGACAAATCCCTTGGCTTTACAGATGCCAAGAAAGAGATATAGGGACCTATAAGCAGATCTAAATCTTCAGGATGCCCACTCTTGGCTTATTATATCTGTTGAAATGGCTTTCCCATGAAATGCTTATCGAAGGACTACAAAATTCTTTGCAACTTTATTCTTTATTCAAGGGCTCAATATCTTAAATAGTTATAGCTTTCCCCATACCCCACAGCCTACCTGCAGATGCCCCAAGGATGAAAGGGTCTAGAAAAAGACAATTTTTGAACCCTGAATTTGTTTCTTCATAAGTTTCCATAGTCAGTTATCAATGCTTGCTACCTATATCACACAGAGTTCTTGGCCTACTTCCATTTTGTTCTTCCAAAATCACCTTCATAACAAGATGTTCACTGCTATTTTTTTTTAAAAAAAGTTTATGTTGAAAAGTTTTACATAATATAAAATACATTAAAAATATAAATGTGAAAAAGAAAATGAAGAGAAAAAGAAAAAAGGATATAGAAAAAAGAAAAAATAGATAAAGAAGTGATTTTTGATCTTCCTCTCAACAGTTGTATACAGTGTACAATTTTAATCAAATTTCTCTCATTAAGAACTGTAGTCTCTATAGATCACAATCCCCTTCTTTCAATAACCCATTCTTTGTAATCAAAAACATAAATCACAAACTCATTTTTTAATACAAAAAGTGCAAAAGGGTTTCCCAGTCATGGATGAGTATTAGTGATGATCTTTCTCTAATCAAAGAAGTCAATTTGGCCTCTCTGTAAGTTCTGTCAATTTCAACCATTCCTTCATGGTGGGAAATGCCAAATCTTTTCTATTTTTGTTCCCATTATCTCACCTCAATAATCATATATTGAAATAATATTTCATGAATATTTTCCAGGTGTGTATTCATCAGTCCTAAAAGGAAAAGTTCTGACTTCAATTAGTCATCTTTTAAATGTGTCAAAATATGTATTTGAATCCATTTTTAAAAGCTTTTTTATATGTCCACCAAGCACGATAAAAGGCCCCTTCATTTTGTTCCCATTTCCAACATATATTTTGAATACGTCTAGTTAATTTCTCTGATGTCATGTTCCAGGTCTGCTGCTATCTAATGAGGAAGCAATATTTTATTATCAGATCTCTGCCATTCTGAAGATGGCAAAACTTTCAGAAATTCTCAAAGTTTTATGAGTAAGAGTATTACAGATAAATTCCCATTCTTTTGCATGAGAAACTAAAACCGTGGAGGGATTATAAAGACATAAAATAATAATCACGACAATAAAAGATGGATAAGATAATATAATTTCTTTTTTATGATAAGGGAGAGTTTTAACTAATTGAATCAGCTTTTTTTCACTGCTGTTAATTTTTAACAATGATGTGAAACACTTTTCAAGCTCTGATTAAGCATAATTAGTGAAATTCAGAAATACTTACCTATAATAACTACAAGAAAAATAATCTTGAATTTAAGGTAAATTTCCCCCAAAACTTTAGGCAGGAAAAAAACCCACTTACAGAAATATTGTACGCCACCCAGGTTCCCCACCATCCCATATTGCCGTATGGAGTTGCCTATTCCTGATGAAACCAGTCTAGAGATTCCGTCCTCAGTCTAGATCAAATGTCTGCATGAACTTCACTTGTATATGTACAGTATATGTGCATGCATTTATATGCATAGGCCAGAGGCCACAATGCAGGAAAACCAGGTAAAAACAGTAAAATTACTTAATGATAATTGATTGAAATTAAATCTGTCAGATAAGGTATCCCGTTCGTAACATAAATCAATCCCCCCTTGGCATGTATGCATACAAGCAAACTATTCTGTTGCACAGAGACTTCTTTTGAACGCATATGCATACCTACAAGTAGCAAATGCACACACTACAGAATCTGTTTAGCCCAGGTTATTCCATGTAAATTGACATGAATACTGAGAAGAGATACCTGGGGTACTGTGCTGTCTTTTCTTACAAGAGAGAAATAGGTTCATCCATGCCTAAATGGAAGGAAAGTCTGCAGATGCTCACCCTTACATGTGAAGAAGGAAGTCAGGATTAGGATCTTCCTCTCAGTCCCCCTCAGAGAAGGGATAACAGTGACTTTTCTCTGTCCCCAAAGTCCCTTGCTTTCATTATTTGCAACTCCTAACCATTCAATTCCCTTTCAACCATCCTGTTTTCAGGCTATTCTTTTGGAGTAAAATTAACCTTATAAATACTGTCTGCATTTGTGATGTATTTATAGGAGGTCATGAAAGTATTTTTCTTCACAGATACTTGTTAGTCATTTTGACCCTAGCACTTTTTATCTTTCACATTGGGGGGTGGGTGGGTGAAGAATATCCAGCAAGTCCCTCATGAAAGATAAAGAGATCTTCTTAAAGAAGAAAATGTGAAAAGCCACTAGTTAGGTTATTTTTGTTTATGGATCATAGTCAATGGGTCTTGCATGAATCCTGTCACTATTTACATTTGCTACATGTGCCCCATTCTTGCTGCAATAATAGGTTTGCAGATATTGCTCCTATTATGATTAGGGATGTGCAGAAGTGAGAGAATGTTGTTTCTAGGATAATATATATATATAAAGGTTGATATAGATAGATAGTTAGATATAGATAGATAGATAAATAGAAATAGATAGATGTTTCTATATTAAATTACTCTTTAGACTAGGTTCTTTAGCCAAATTGATAAGTTAATGATTACTTTTTAAATAGCATGTTCAGATTCCAAGGTTTGCTCTCTTCAGTCTGCACATCCCATATTAACAGGGAAGCTTGGGGTGGGGTGGGGTGTAATTCTTCAGATTTTCAGTTGTACTCCTGGACCTACATGTTCTGTTTCGTATTTTTTAATGAATGAAAATGAGATAGAATGATTAGCACTATTGTTATAACGAGGCAGTCATTATTTGTAATACTAAACTTGTGGGAAGTACTTGGTTATAATGGAAGCAGAAGTTTTATTGTATCCCTATAATAAAAATAGCTAGGCATCTTTGGAAATTATTGGGAAAGAAATTAACATTTAATTTTTAAAAAGGAGACAACAAAGATGGAAGATCCATTAACTTAGCATGTGCTGTACTTGCAAATCAAAGGGTTATCACTGAGCAGTGAGTCAGAACAGACACAATAGAGGAAACATGGGGAATGGGGGCAATAAATTTCTTGCCCATATAGTTTTCTGTTGATCAGAGGATGAGTGGATAGTGGGTACTTGCATATTAATTTTTATTCATTGAAATCTGTAACAGCAGGCATGTCAAACACACAGCCCGGCTCCGCAAAGGCAAAAAACATCCCGATACATCCCAATATGGCCTGCGATGTGATCAGGTTTGACACCCCTGTGTAATAGCATACAACTAGTGCATGGATTTCAATACTGCATTGCTCAGCAAGCCATTTTCTCTACCCAGTTGAATTACCCCAAGGGATTTTATTCGATGCAAAATGCAGGTATCCTCAGGCAAACCAAATGGTGAATGATGCTTCCTGATCCCAAAGACTGGACAATGTTTGAAAATAATTTGTCTTCCCCTCCCAGGACCTATAGCAGTTAATAATAACTGAGGAATTCATGCATTGAATGGTAATATTGAGATACCCATGTTTGCCATAACCATATCTGGAAGGAGATTATATGCATTTATGATTATTTCCCATTTAAACAAAAAAATATATGTTCGGACAAGTTGCAAACTATGTAAAAATGGATGATCAGGTCAGAGCACTTTCCCCACAAACAAAGACTACATGTTCCAGAACATTTTTAGTCTGGATAAAATAGATTTTCCCCTAAATTAAAAAAGATTGCTTAGTCTTAGAAGGTTTCTGAAAGTTACAGAACAAATGGTTAAGAAAAAGAAGGGATGAGCAGTTTCTGGACTTTGTGCTTGAGGTGGAAAAAATGATACTTAGATTTTTTGGTTAGACTGATTTATTGATATAGAAATGTAGTTCATACTACTACAGAAATGTAAAAAGTTGAGGTTCAATGTTAATGCCTTATTTCACTGCAACAGAGGGAATCAGAAGTCAACACATTTTTTTTTCTTGCCTGCCCCTTCACACTTCACTTTTTCCCTTTCCCCTACCTTTGTTCCTTATTTGCTTTTGTATTTTCGTATTTTATGTTATAAGTGAATAAAATTAAAATTACAGTTGGACAAGAAAAAGAAGGAATGAGGATTAACATGCACTGTAAAATTTCTCTCATAATTGGCCAAAGTATAATTTCTGTTTTTTTAAACAAGTATAATAGTGAATAAAAAAATTATCACTTAGGATATATTTCAGGGAGAACGTTCCAGTATTTCTGAGTACAGACCTATCAGAATGAACCCTTTTACAAGGTCAATAACACCAGGGTGAGTGATTCTTGCTAAATTGCACTCCTGTCATTAAAAGAGTTAACGTTCCTTTTACAACTCTGTGAGGACAGCTGTGGGGTGCTCAGGTGGGTAATCTGAACTAAGAAAGCGGTATATAAACCTGAGCTTTCCATTCTTGGACCAAGTCGGAATCCTCCTCATCAAGACTTCCTCTGCCAAGTTTTTCACTGCCATCCCACAGAAGATGAGTTTCACTGGAAAATATGAAATGGAAAATGAAGAAAACTATGACATCTTTATGAAGCGCCTAGGTGCGTATGTATATTTTTTTCTTTTTCATAAATTAGATGTTTCTTTGGCTAGATACAGGGAGTTCTTCCTCTGCGCATTTCAAGAGAAAAGCATTATCTTCACATTAACTTTATCTAGGATCTTCTAGTAAAATAACGTGCAAACTTTTAGAATTTTAATGGTATGGTTTTTTGAGGGTAGTGGTGGATGAGGACAAAATATATATCAGTACTGTAGAATCCCACAGTATCTGTAGAATTTTTTCCTGACAGCTTTTTTTGTAATACAATTTTTTGTAATTCAAAAACTTGCACCATCTTCTTTCTCAGATAAATTAGACTAAGTTATGAGCAAGCTTTCATCAGCAGACAGGAAAGACTGCAGATATGTATTGTGGCTACTGATTGGACAGTTCCTTTTTTTATACATTTATAATCATGAAATATAACAAGTTGGCTCTACCAAAAGCAATACTTTTAGGGACAAACTTCCCATATAGGAAATGTGACATTTCATTACTATCTATAAATATGAATTCAAGATAAATGTAAATTCAGAATAAAAAAAAACCCTGACTTTCTAGGGAAAAAAAAAGCAATTAAACAAAAGCACTTTTATGGAACCTGATAAACAATTAACAGGTACAGTGTCGATTAACAACTGATTCTTATTTCCTTTCTCTTAGGTCTTCCTCATGATACAATTGAGAAAGGAAGAAATTTCAAGATCGTTACTGAAATAGTACAGAATAATGATGAATTCACTTGGTCCCAGATTTATCCAGGAGGGCATACCTTGACTAATAAGTTTGTTATTGGCATGGAATCGGAAATGGAGACAGTAGGAGACAAAAAATTCAAGGTAAGCAAATGGTTGGCACCATGACCTTTATTTTGCAGGTTTGGACAACCCTGTTCTCTGATGTTCCTGGTCCTGATCTTAAGTGTTTATGAACTTTGAAACATGAGCAACCATTGTTAGGGTTCCAAATTTGGTATCATGTACATCTGAATTTTCTTTTTTACCTCTCTACCCATTCTAATTACTTCAGACTCTACTGAAGACTATTTGTCTTGGCCATGATAAAAATGCTATCCGTACATCCTTCAGACAGCAGAAAAATATATCAGCACAACATTGGCAGCTCTCACTGCCAATCCATATTTTATCATAGGTACCGTGCCAGGAAATGGGGCAGCCTATACAGGTATATGGTACTCTATGAATAGGAATTAGTGAATTTGGTTGTCCAAAGCCAAGTGACCCTGGAAAACCAGTACCCATGCATTGAAGGGATAGCTTCAGTATATAGATTAGCTCTTGAGGGTAGGCTTGGATAAATATAACAAACATAATAAATATGTCATTAATTTAAAAATCCAGCCCTTCTTAACTCTCCTTAGTTTCAGCAAATGAGAGTAACAAACAAGGTTGACTCCCTCCCTAAAATCAATGGAAAAACTTCTTGAGGGTCAGACCATGCTTTAAATTTTATTTAGTATACGCAGCTAATATAACCCCCCTTCCTTTTAAGCTAGCAGAAGCAACCTTCTACTACTCATCTCTGCTAACGTATTAAATGGTGTGTTAGGATTGTATTTTTGTTTTTGTACATGAACATGGTTGCTAAAATAAGATCCAGCAACTGCCTGAACAAGCGCTAAGTGCTTACTAGGTTATTTCTAGCTATTGTTTAGAGTTGTTATCAGGTATATTTTGTGATCAAAGCTATTTTCAGTCCAGGGGAAGATTCATCCTGCCCAAGAAGTCTTCCATCTAAATGCTATTGAATGAACTTCAGTCAACATGACAACTAACACATGTCAATCTGTTTCAGGCAATAGTTAGAAAGGAAAATGGCAAAGTGATTGCTGACTTCCCAAACTACCATTATACTGCAGAAGTCGCTGGGGATAAACTTATTGAGGTAAATCTTGGAAAATAACTCTTTGAGGTTGGAACGTGTGATGTCAAAAAGACTGGACAGAAATACATTAACATGAAAACTAACGTAATATTAATGTCACTGGAAGGAGCAATAATAGCACTGCTATTCAGCACTGCTGATTCCAAGATAAAAAAAACCCCTCCATTTTGCAGGGAAGTGAGCACCTCTCTTCAACTCCTGAAAGCAGCTGCATCTTTACCAGAGAATTCTGGTTGCCCTCTCCACATACCCCCTCCAGGAAAAGACTCTTTTGGATTAGAGTTAAGCCCTGGTACTTTGTTCTTAGTGCTGAAGGACTTTTTGAGTTTAAATCTGGAGTATTGCACAATTCTAGACAATTGGCTCAATATATTTGCAGTGAGGTTGTGGTCACTCAGCAGTTAAAGACATTGAGCTTGTCAGTTGGAAAGCTGACAGCCCCAGTTCAAGACCTGATGTCATACATCCGGGTGAGCTCTCGATATGTGCCCCAGCTCCTGCCCACCTAGCAGTTTGAAAGGATACAAATGTGAGTAGATAAATAGGTATCACTTTGGTAGGAAGGTAACAGCATTTTATGAGCCTCAGTGTATAGTCATGCTGGCCACATGACCCCAGAAATGTCTTCAGATAATGTTTCTCCTTTGCTTAGAAATGGAGATAAGCACCACCCCCTAGAATGGACACATCTGGACAAGGGAAACCATTACCTTTCTTTATAGTTGCAGTAAATGGATCAGTAAATCAAAGAACAAGGGGTGAGTGAGGAGGGCTAAAGTTCATGCTTTGTAGGCAGATTTTTTTTTAACTTAATAGCCTCCTTCCATATACCTAGTGTAGTCAAAGTAGTCTATCATTTGCTGAAAATAAAAATGTGAAAATGCAACATATAAATAAATAAAATGTAATTTTCTAAAAAAGATGTTTGCTATGTGCAGGGATAAAAACAGCTGATTTACCCAGAGTTTCTTAAGTTTTCTTAAAACCCTTTATCAAGTCTTGGCCTGGATTTCCACAAATCCCCCTTTTTATAACCAGAGCTTCTAGGAAATAAGGATACCCGTATGAATTAAGGTGCAGCGATGGAGTGTTTTGAAACTGACTGTTCTAAAACAACTTGAGGATGAATTTAATTTATCTGCTCCTCCATATAGAGCTAATGCAGAATTTCTAGATCATTAAGAGCTGCAGAAGAAGAAAGTCTTCAGCTGTACATGTCAGAATGAAAAGATGCTACTAGATATAGATTTATTCATTTATGAAAATGTACGTGGCCACCCTGCTCACTCTCAGTGACTCAGGATGGCTTGCATATATGCAGTAGATATACAGATATTCCTCAGTAGATTCAACAAAATGTTTTTTTAATTTATTTAATAAATTCATTAATTCTTTAAGGTTTCTACAGTTGCTGATATAACCTTCAAGAGAATCAGTAAGAAGCTGTCATAAGAAGTTTCTTGGAGAAGAAATAATCCAGTCCTTAGCCAAGTTATATAAAGTGATAAATCTTTTCTAAGTCTGCATTTGCTTTGCAAACAAATAAAACACATATTTTACTTCCTATGCGTAACTACTCTATTGGTTTTTCCCTTCCCTCTATATATCATATTAGTGGAATCTTGAATTATTATCAAACTATTCCTAATAAAGATGAACAAGGTTTCAGGCTTTGCTATGTGGAACTTCCCATAATACATATGATAAAGAGTGAATGAACATTTTTCGCCATCATATTGGGGCCAGCTTTCCACCTCACACTATGGCAAAATCAAGCAAATTACATTTTGACTTAGTGCATTCTGTGTTTCCAGCCACAATAGTTCATCAAACATATTTTGGAGTATAATGTGTGATGTGTGAAGGGTGGCTTTTATAAACCTTCTAATATAAACAGTTATAAACAAGCACAAACAATTATTTATAGCAATGTGAGCCTGGTCTCTCTCTATAAAGCTGAAGAACAATGACTTGTGTTCATTTAAAAAAGGGTTACTGTACATGCAGTGTTTCCATTAATCATATAACTTGAAATAAAGCCTTCAATATTACTAACTAGAGGACATTGACATAATCATAATAGCTACTATTACAAATCTTACCTTTTTAAAACTATTTCATTTGTCATATCTCAGTGCTAGCTTGCACTATTCCAATTACAAAATAGTGTCTCAGTTGTTTCATGTGTTCCAGCTAGCTTGAGGTCTCACAATGTTTGTTGACTGTGATAGAAGCCAGCTTTGCATGCCAGTACAGACAATACAAATAACAGTGAACATGGTGAAATATTTTCCCCTTCATAATGAATATAGTCATTGGTGACTATTTGAGAAATGAATATGGTGATGAGAAGCTATGGTCCTAGGAATCACCTAGTCTCTACAATTTCTTTTTTCATCTCACAATATTATAAACAGGTGATTTTTTTTATTTGTCTTTTGTATTCCCATTTTAGTAATCTCAATTTTCTTGACTTCCATGCATTCAGACTCTGCATAACAGGCAAAAGGTTTTCAAAATGTCATCATCTAAACGTTTATCGATTGAAACCTGTATCCTTCTAAGATATTAGCATCAATATTTTAGTCTATGTTCAAAATAACTTTTAAGATTAGAAAAAGTTATTGCTGGCTTAGCCATTTTAACTCTTTTCTCTGTTGTCCTTTAGTTTTCTCTGGTGTCCATTTGTAACCTTCATCAAACCTCAGTTCCTAATATGGGTTTAATTCTGTTTCAGTGGTTTCCCATGATTGTATTATTTAATTATATACTTGCTTTTCAAATCTTACAACAAAAAGAATCAATATGTCAAAACTCAATGGGTTTAAAACAAATCAAAATTCTTTTTTCCTTTTGCCAATTGTATATTGTTTTAAATTTTTAAGTGTTCAACATTTCATAAATCCAAAAAAGAAGGTAAAACATGTCAGATGCCACGTTAAGCTTGCAGTTTTGATGGCCTCTAATATCCATAAAATGCTTAAATTAAACATTTCCAAATGTGATTAAAAATGAGTTTGGCTGGCTTAGTATTATTATGAAAGGCTCTGCAGCTGTTGAGAGCTAAGCTGTCATATTCCTTGGCTCCTCATAGCTGTCATTCAGAGCACCTGTGGGTTATCTCCCCTCTTCCCTTCTCTGGAGAAATACAAAGGACCAGTCCACTCACTGATCCTTCATTCTTCACAGTGATTGTTGTCTCCACTTGTTCATGGAGACGTCTTCAGTCTGTCATGATTCACACTGGAAGCCAAATATGATTTGATTTCTTGAAATGCAAAATACATACTGCAGAGCACAAATGATTAGCATCCTCTTACTCAGAGGAATCAGCCAGTGTTTTTCTGCTGTCCTTTTGCATTTTCAGAAAACAAGCCAAGGCAAAATCAAGCACCGCCCTCTCTGTCACAGAAAAGCCATGTGTTGAAGCTCAGTCTTACACTGTGTCACTTAGCAACCAAGCCTGGGCATGTGTTCCAACTAGTAGCTCAAAATGTGCAAATCCTTTAAACTCCTGCTTTCCTATGTAGATGTTGCCACATTTCCATTTGAAATTAAGGCTTTTCACTGTCATTCCACAAGGTTGCATGGAAAGATTTGCTCTATTGCATCTTTACACAGCTACCGGTTTCTCTCCCCCCTCTCCCCCACCAAACCCCACTTATCCTCCCTTGGAGCAGACACTCCAACTCAGAGAAGAAGTAAGTACTTTGTCTATTTCTCAATGTCTAGAGTCTAGACAGTGCACCAAAAAGGAAGCTTCCCATCTAGCACATACACCCTCCCAATCAATTATAGCAAAAACAAACAAACAAAAAACCCCACCACCAAGCTGCAGAAGAACAGTATCAAGTCTAATTCCACACTCTGAATACAGGATAATTCACTTTGTTTTCAGCTTGGAATACACTTATGCTAATATCTTCTGTGGCTGCTTAGAGCAAATCAAATCTGAAGCTATATTTAATTTCCTTCTATATTTGTTTCTTGGCATTGACAAGCAGTTGAGATTAAAAATGTTATTTAAATACTTTCAGTGATGGGGGGGAGGATGGTCGATTCACGTAGTGAGCAGTCATAATTTTAATGCAAAGAAAATGTTTACCTTCCATTGTAGAAAAAAATCACCAACAGCATTCAAGAAATGTGAAAAAGAAATAAAATTTTGCCTGATTAAATGTTTAGAACATTAACTGTGGGCCTAAGTATATTTGTGTGGATTGTCAGAGAAAACTGAATTTCAGCACAAAAGGATCCGGCATGATCACAATTCAAGTGATACATTAAAGTATGTGTCTGATTCCTCTTGAGAGATTCCATTTTTCTATATTTGAATATATGAAAGCAGAATTTGTAAATATGGTATCAGATATTTTGATCTGTATGTTTCACATAGGTCAGAACACGTGAGGCATCTGTTTAATTCCCCCTGGTTAGGAAAATGCTAGCCAAAAAGCTAAACTTTTCATGACTAAAAAAATTGCTCAGCCCCTACTAGAGGTTGATGAAAATTCAGAGTGCTTTGTCAGATGTCCTTATTGTAACTCACACTTACCATAGGTAAATAGAATTAACATTAAAATAAAATAAATTCTGGCCCTATCAGCTTCCAAGTATTACTAAATTTTGTAAGTTAGAAGAATCCAGTTTGCTCACCAGTGCAGTATGGTTTATTTTGATGTGTAAATCCAGTCATTCTTTTTCTAGTAGAAACCTATATATATAACCCTGAACTTTTTTCAGATATGAAATATTATTTTTAGTTCAGAGTTTTATATTGAATTAGCTCCCTTGCCTGATTACCACATTGCCTTCAATCTAAACTCAGGATGTAAGTATGTAGAGACTTCAGCATTTATCTGGTCAGGACCCAAGTATTATTGAGGGGGGAGGGTGGAGTACAAATTGGTGATTTGCCTTCCTCCCTGCCCTGGTGTTAAATGTAATTATGCTACATCACAGCCAGGACAATTCATCTGTTTATCTGGTCTGTAACTCATTATGGGGTGTCACATTAATCTAGGGATTTAATTGGAAAAGTGGTAAGGCAAACAATCCAACTGCTTGAATCAGGGTCCCTTGTGTGCTTTCCTGCTGTTGATATTGTATTTTGAATATGCTATCCTCTAGCAGTAGAATGCTTTATGCTCTATGCTTTTTTCATGTATTGAGATTGTAATGTAACTTCTTCACATTTTCTCCATATCTTCATTTTTTTTTTTGCTTAACATAAAGCATTGCTTAAATTTCCCCTTAGGAAATAACTATTATGAAAAAAAGAAAGAACATAACCCTACGTTTCAAATAATCTCTTGGCAACTCTTTTTTCTAGGAAGCTCAGTGCTTGAGATGAAATTCAGGACATTTATTCCTGCCATCTTCTGGAATTACCTTTTCTAGCTCCTGTGTTTCTTCAAATCCCATGAACCAAATGCTATAGAACAATTCTTTGTTGGATAAAATGTTATCAGATGGTTGCCCTTTTGCCTTCTTACATTTCTGGCTGCCAAAGTTGAATTTACAACTAGACCTTGGGAAAAGGAAAGCTCTATGTAATTTGCTGTGCACCGCCTCTCAGTATTTGTCCCTCATCAGTCTCCAGATGTACAAGGAATTATCAGAGTTTTAGTTCTTGAAAAATAACATGCCAAATAAGGAAAAATAAAATTCCTCTCAAGTGATATGTCCTAGAATGAAGTACACAGACACTGTATAAAGATGGGTGTCTGGATTGGTCAGAAAGTCAATCCCGTGTTGCTACCCATTGGCTCCAGCAAATCTCACACTTGGAACCCCTTTAGATAGGACATAATTTTTCATAAAAATTTTCATAGCTGACGATTTAGCCATTGTTCCTTTTATCTCCTGAAAGTAGGGACACCATGTAAGCAAAGCTTCATGGCTCTACAGGGTTCTGAAAAGTGTATCCGTATCTCTCCCCATTCCCTGCTCATATTCATATTTTTTATATTAATGAGCTATTCAGTGATGTAACGTATAACTGATTGCAACAATACTCAGGCATTATGTACTCAGGCATTATGAACAGATAACTTCAGTAAGCTAATAAAAATAATTAGGGTTTAGTAATAATAGTTTTTGAGTAAAAATTCTGAGCTGTAAATATACATGAAAGGAGAGGAGGCTTTGCATTCTTTTTAAAAACTGCTCTGTTGGTGCTGAGATTCCTTTGTTCTCATCCGCTATAAGTGGAATGTAATTTCTTATTTGCATAATTGAGAACTCCTTTCAGGAAACTAAATTGGAAAGCAACTCAATTCTTTTCAATTACAAGTGACTTGTGAAGTCTTGAAGTCTGTTTGCAAAGTGGAGTTAATCAGGTGCTAAAACAGGTCAAGAAGTGGCCCTCCTAGGATACATGTTGCATGGTGTGTACCTTTGCAATGGCAATCTTGCGCATATTCAACAGCATCAAAAGAAACCCTGCTTCATCAATAAATTAGTAGGTTCAGAGACCTTCTCTATTGTGTTGCATGCTTCCTAGAGCAGCATTGCTCAGAGATCCATATGTCTCCACCCTCTGAAAACTTGACTGTTCTCAGACCTAGTAAGGTAGTTGTTCAGTCTTTCATTTTATATTTGGCATTTTGTGTGTGTTTCTTCCTGAAGTGGGTGGTCTTATTATTTATTATTTTTTGCAGGGTAAATCACTAGAGTCATTGGGTAGCCTCTAAATTTAATAGATTAATTGAATGTTTGTGTCTTACCACTATGAAGCTCTGTAACGGGTATGGAAAGAACTGGGGGCATTTGATTAAAGGGTGTACTAGGGCCTGTGAAGATTATGAGCACTCAAAAGTAGACAAACTCATTAATGTTTTGTGCTTTTTATTCAATAAACTTTCTTAAGATAGAAACAAAAAAAATCAATACACAAAAACACCTTCTTTACAGGACATCATGAAATAGTCAGGCTGAATTCTATAAGCTTGAGCTTCTCCAGTGGTTTTTACACACAATTGGCTACTGTCTGCTTAAATGCTATAGTTAAAAAGTTGTGTATAAATGCATAAAAGCTAAAGCCCAGATACTATTTTTGACAAAGATGTTTCATTAACATATCTAACAAGGAAATAAAATCCATACAAAAACATTTCCCATTTTGTCTTGCTACATATGTTGTCATCAAAAGCGGGAAAAGCAGAACTCATCACCAGACTTTTCAATGAAAAGGAAACATTCTTCTCCTACATTAAAAGCAGCACTCCCTTCTTCAGTTAAAAATTCTTCACTTTCTCCCTGAAAATTATAACTTAAAGCAAAATGAACAAATAACATTTTTACCACTGCACTCCCAACAACACAAACTCTAGATATTCGATAGAATAAAAGCATATTGCACATAGTGTTATCGCAATCCTGAGAAACATTCCATAAAAATACTGTCATTCAGTGACAAGAGCTCCACATCAAGTGGCAACTTCACACAGTAGTAGATGCCTTCAACATATTTTGAAATTGGAGCCACACAAGTCTAGTACAAAAAAAAATGATACAAAATAGTTTAAGGCCATGATCCTGAAGTACGTTGATATAGAAATATTGGAGCAATGGGGCAAGGCAAAACCTGGCAAAGTGTTGTCAAATTTATATTTTCAGAAGAGAATCAATGGTGGAAGCATGGTACTGTAGCCTACCCATTTCCATCAATTATTCTCTGCCAATGTTATCCCCTGCCCTCTTTTCAAAACTCACAGTCCTTCCTAATTCTGGAGTTCAGCTAGAAAGAACCAAGTCAAGGTGCTAGAGAAGCATTTGCAGAAGGAGATTCTATTAACCTTACATTCTTTATTCTTGAACCTTTTAAGAATTCCTTTTCCTTTTTTTAAGAGTCCTTCTATGTATATTTTTGCCTACTTTTCTAAGTCATATTGCAAATTCCTAATATCCTATAATAAAAGGCAGCAGTTCCCTCAAAATTTAAGGGATTTAACTATTTTTCTTTACAGTGGATTGCTTCAAGTAAACATTAATCCCTGATATAACATGTAAACCATATTTTCTCAACAAATGACTGTTTGTGACATAAGGCAGCAGCATCTCAAATATCTAGAGGTACTTTTAAAAGGCAATTAAAAAATACTACACACATGAAACTCAAATGGTGCTTAGCCTACTAAATGTATTCAAAGAGTTCAAAGGAATTCTCTCCCTATTTTCATGCTTAATATATTGTTTTGCAATTCTTCCAATAAGCAACAAGGAAGATTCTTCATAAAGTATTCTACCACAGAGAGAGAGAGAGCGATCGATCAAGGTGAGTGCAACAAACACTGGCCTTTTTATCACCAACAGAATGTTCCAGGGCTAAAAATTGCAATCATCCGCCATGTGTCACAGGGAAGTTACCTTACAGCAAAGGTTTGTCGTATGGCAGAAGCTTTTTCAGGTCTTCCTCCCTAAAAATGAAGCCTGGCAAATCTGGGACTGGTGAGGTATATTTTTTTGCACTTTTCTCTTAAAAGTCTTGCCTCCTTATGTACTGAGAAATCAAAATTCATTTGTGAGTTGGATCTGCTTACTATCCAGCCATTTTTTCACTGAGATCCTGCTGATAGTGACAAGGGCATTCTTTTCTCTTAAAAGTCTTGCCTCCTTACATACTGAGAAATCAAAATTCATTTGTGAGCTGGATCTGCTTACTATCCAGCCATTTCTTCACTGAGATCCTGCTGATAGTGACAAGGGCATTCTGGCTTATGTGCTCCAACTCATGTTTTTTTCTGGCAAAACAGCCTGCCTCTCTCTGGCTCCCTTTTTCCATAAGCGCTCAGCCATCGAAACAACCTGCTGTATATGAGTGATGCCTGCTGAAGTAACTGCTGCCGTAGACCAATGAGAGGCAATGCCTGGATTCTGTCGAAATGGCTACCTGCATCGTGATTGGCCCTTGGATAGACACGGTCTGCAAATTCTCCTGCAGGGCAGAATAAGTACTCAGCCTACTGTTCCCTGAACTGAGGCCACTAGATCGAGGAGCTTGCAAGGAATCCCGATAAGCGGAGCACAGATCCTGTATTGGAGAACAGAACTGCGACAGGACAGCTGAGGGTTGGGGCAGGGGATGGTACTGTGGCTGATGGAAGAGAAGCTGAGTTGGCGTCTGGAGTGTTAGGCTTTCCATTATTTGCTGCTGCTGTTGTTGTTGCAATAGGGCCATGCAATCCTTTTTCTGTGTGTCTTCTCTGGGATCCTTACTATGAACTTTGCTAGGAGAAAATAAATCAAAAACACAATCAAACCACCTTTTGAAAAGAAATGTGAAATAAATTAACATATGCTGTGCTAAGAAACAAGTATCAACTAGCACTGATGATGTTACCTAGTTTGGGTAATCAAACATCTGCAAGAAAATAACTAAGCTCAGAGAGCACCAAGGATTCCTCATTTCAAATCTGAGCTGCAGATATTCTCCTTTATTGGCAAGTATCATTTATCAGATGTAACCCAGTGGCAATATTTATAGCTACAACATTTGTTAACAACATTGGACAAAACCATTTCCAGCTTCTTAGATACCCAATATAATAGAACTAGTTAAATCTTTTAAAACCTATTAATTTATATATATATATATATATATATATATATATATATATATATATATATATATATATATATATATATACTGCTCACAAAAATAAAGGGAACACAAACGTATAGGATCCTATATGTTTGTGTTCCCCTTATTTTTGTGAGCAGTATATATTGGTTATCAATAAATCCATTTTAGATACAGGTAAGAGATTAATAAACTACAGAATTAGAAATTCCTATATAACCTAAGACAATGGGAGAGTGTCTTAACTTCTATACCTCGTGTGTGAACCTTAAACTATGACTTATTACAAGAAAAAATAATTGGACTCCATTACATTTGTATTGAAAACTGTCTTGGAGAGCACTATATTTTTCACTGCCCTGTACTTACTATGTTTTGTGAGAAAATAGTGGAGTACTTATAAATTTGACTGTACAACAAAAAGCTAAAATATTCATAGATAGTATTATCTTGAATTACACATCTAGTACATGGAATCTGACAACTGGACAACATGAATGGATTCTCTGTGCTTTATTACAACTAAAAGATTGACATTACACCATTGGAAAGATAAATGTATGGCCTCATTTACTCAATTGATTCAAGACCCAATTACACGTGCTACCTATGAGCAGATTGCCGATAGACATAGACTTTGTATGGATAAATATAACGAAATATGACACTCATTTATGCAAAGTACAATAGATTAAAAAAGCATGATTGTCATATAATAAACACACGTATAAATATTAGATAATTATATATAAAATTGTTATAACGTATATATTTTATCTATTTACTTATTTTAAGCACTTGTTACATATTTTTAATAATGTGTTTATCTTTGTACTTTGTCACTTTTGTTCTTTCTTCTGTTATAATTTTAAATGCAATAAAATTTTTATAAAAAAATATGCTGAATAAATACACTTCCCCATAGTAACTCATATACTGCTGGGGGAAAAAATGCAATTCCTGAAGATTTTATGGTTTCAGTAATTTTATAGCTGAATACCATTTATACTCTCTTGTTGAACTAGAGTTGATGGTGTGTTAAGAATTTATTTTAAAAGTTGCCCATCAATTTGCTGATATGCTAAATATCTACGCAGAAATCTATTATATGAACACATAGTACCAGTATTATATTAGCACACTGCAAAGGCTTAGGACAATGGGAGCAAGTTGTAGGAACTACAGCATCCAAAAGAAAATGTCACTTGGTAAAATCTTGGATCAGGGCAACCACAGGGCCTCTATCTAGAGACCAACATTTTATTTCTGAATGCAAGCATAAGTAATTGAAGATTCATTGCCAATAGCAAATCCTTTTAACTAACTTGCATATATTTTCCTGGGCTTATGTAACTACTGTTTGAGATCAGAAAAAGCCATAATTGCGTTGTAGAAGCAGCCAATAGATAGGGAACCCCACTCCTGCCTACTTTAGATCCAAACCTAGCATTTGTCTGGTCCATGACTCCAGATTGGTAGTCAGGGGAATGGTTTACTTCTCTCTGAAACTTACCCAAGCATGAGTTCAATGCAAGGAATAAGGTGTTCCCAGGAATAACATGTCAGCAACTGAAGTTGGGTGGTCCACAAGGGAGACATCTCAAGGTAGAGGCGGGAGGCACCCACACAAGCAGCAGCAACAAGAGAAGGTCGAAAAGAAAGAAAAACATGATCTGGGGGGGGGGGGAGAGAAGGGGAACGAGAGGAAATAAGCATATAAAACTGTTTATAAATGAATTCTCTTTGGGACAAAATTGATTAATACCGAGGCGTCATGGCTGTTTGCAAGGAACATGGTGGAAAGCTACTGAAGCTTCTTTATGTGCTAGATAATAACTCATGATATGAAAAATGCTGTTAAATAGGCATTTAATTTACTGCTTCCTTTAGACCTCCTGAGCATGCTTACTTAAAAACTAAATCAAATTCTGATGCTGCCCAAACAGTGATGCTCCTAGAATGCCCTGCAAAGCCAGGGCTGCTCCAGGAATGTGTGATATTTTGCACCTCCCCCCCCCCCAGCTGAATGGAGGAAAGTTTAAAATGAGAAGGTCTGCCTGAGCTTCACCCTGAATTCAAATGTAATGGTGCCATGATTAGATCACTGGAAATTTTAAAATTTGCTTTTATGGAGGGTGAGGAAAAGAGTTGACAGCTTCTCAGTTTCCTTTTGCAATACTGAAAAATGCTGTGTAAGTACTAATAATGTGTTGAATTTATATGCTGCCCAATGCCTAGCAATTCTGCCCCCTCGTTTCACAGGACATTGACAATAAAGTGATGTGGGTAGTTGCACAGGAGAACGAATAGCTGACTTAAGAGAGTTGGGTCCTTTGAATACCACCAACAAAATTCATTGTCAAGCAAAACATACAGCAGAACACTCTGTCTATAATAGAGAAATCACTATTTGATGCTTTATGTCCTTTAACAGCATAGGAAGAACTGAGAAAATGTGCTTTTAACTATCCTCAGTCTTGCATTACCCTCTAAGTTGAAATTCTCCAAAGTTGTGCTCGTAGAACTGAATCATGTATTGATGAATTTTTCTAAAATGGTTAGAGGCATAACACTGCCTCCTAGTGACTTTTCCTTCTCATTCTCACACTCCTATTTAAATGTGCTTTAAATGTTCAGCCTCATCAGGGTTTTTCAAAATCAATATTGACCCTGAAGGCTCGATGAGACTATCCAAAAGGTTGTGGTTATTACCATTCATACTACTATTAGTCAAAGTAGTATGCATTGAATTATTTTCATATAATACCTGTTTGGGATCAATGAACTGTCTGAAACTTTACGACGGGGTTGATGGGGGCCCCCCTTGTGGTAACATTATGCCTTCTTTTGGTCCTCAAGATGATTAGGAAGCTACACTGAGGCTTCCTACACCTCAAATGTTGCTAACCCTAATCAAGATCCAATTACCTTGCAGTGAAGCTTCTAGGAATGAGTGAGAGTATTCCTCCACGATGGCTCTGAACTTGGTTACAGAGGTGATGGGCCAGCCTTTGTGGAGATCACTCTCACTGACAGAAGCAAAGAGGTAGTAGTCAATGTAGTGTGCTGGCGTTGGCAGACACAGATTCCAATTGAAGCTCTCCAGGAGCAACAGTTCCATCTTCAGTAGGTCTTTTTTCGTAAGCATTAGATTAAGGCTGCACATGTAAGCAAAGTTGTTCAGCAGTTGTAGTTTGGGCACTTTATCCTCCTTCTCTTCAAATTTGCCTAAGGTAAGGAAAGATTAACCCAATGAGATTGATTTAAGGCCCACATCCATCTTATACCATCATACTATACGTTTAAATCACCTGTAGATTCATTAGTCTTCATGCAGTGGTGGGATTCAGCCGGTCTGCACCACTTTGGCAGAACCGGTAGCTATTTTTTTTTGTTGCCCAGGTTCAGAATGGACTTCCAGAAGCGGCATCCACACAGAGAACCGGTTGTTCACATATTTGAATCCCACCACTGTCTTCATAGATACAAGAGACAGAGATATTTTTTTCTGCTATGAAAACAAAACCACAGTTCCATTACGTCTGAATTTGTGGAATTATAAGATGGATTTGAGACCACGTTCTACCTTTTCTCATTAAAGAAATCCCAGTTTCAAATTCAAGTATCACGGGTAACTCTGAAGGATAAAAGGAAAGGAAGAGAAGGAACCAACATTTGGGGTGTGTGTATGTGTGTTTGCAGCATTTTTTTTATGCTAGCTATGTAACCAATGTAAGCGCTTAATGATGTAGCATTAGCAGTGCAGGAATTTGGAAATATTTACTTTAAAATATTGCAACAGTAATAATTATTGCATAAATTTAGCCTTTCTTTTTTTGAAACACTGAATTTAAAAATAAATATATTGTGAGGTTTGCCTCATAATTCCCAAACTTTAAATTCTATAAAAATCAAAGAAACCAAACATAAAAATGTGGGGTGGAGAGAGAGAAAATTTAACAATAAAGCATCTGTATCCATCCTCAAGAGGGCTATGGGGAAAAAAAGGGGATATACTGTACTTTCCGGCGTATAAGACGACTTTTGTGTTAAAATTGGCGCCGAAGTCGGGGGTCGTCTTATACACCGGAAATAACGGTAGTTTCCGGCATATAAGACGACTTTCTAGGCATGCGACTCGGTGCCAAAGTCAGGGGTCATCTTATACGCCGGGTCGCCTTATACGCCGGAATATACAGTAGTTAAAAACCCTCCAAGTCTCAAGGGTAATCCTGTTTAAAAGTAAGGAGGTTATGTGCATAAACTATTACTTGCTAAACTCCAATAACCCCTTAATTTTTCTTGTTCATCATGGAGTCAAAACCATATGCTGCTGTAGTTATCCCAAATTAAAAGTATGTTTGCTTACTTCCCACCTGATTAACATTTTGTATGTGAAAAAAAATCCACATTTTTGTGTAAAGATATGCTGAGTAGCTAAAAAGATACTACCCAAAGATAAATTTATTTAAGATAACCAAGCATTTACCAAATTTCCATTCTATCCAATCAATTACAATAAAAACCAAGATAAGCTAATTTTTGACCAATTTATAATTCAGAACTGAAGCTGATGACTAGCATAAAAATGCAGGATTTTTTTTTTTATATTTTATTTATATATAACAGAGGCAGAAGAGATTAAGAAGAGATGGCAAAACTACACAGAAGAACTATACAAGAATGAGCTTAACATCCCAAATAACCACAATGAGATGGTCACTGACCTCGAACCAGACATCCTAGAATGTGAAGTGAAATGGGCCTTAGAAAATCTGAGCAACAACAAAGCTAGTGGAGGTGACAGTATTCCAGCTGAGCTATTCAAAATCTTAAAAGACGATGCAGTAAAAGTGCTACACTCAATTTGCCAGCAAATTTGGAAAACTCAACAGTGGCCACAGGATTGGAAAAGGTCAGTTTACATTCCAATTCCAAAGAAAGGCAATGCCAAAGAATGTTCAAACTATCGCACCATTGCACTCATTTCACATGCTAGTAAAGTTATGCTTAAAATCCTACAAGCTAGACTCCAGCAGTATGTGGATCGAGAACTACCAGAAGTACAGGCAGGATTTCGAAGAGGCAGAGGAACTAGAGATCAAATTGCCAACATACGCTGGATCATGGAGAAAGCTAGGGAGTTCCAGAAAAACATCTACTTCTGCTTCATTGACTATGCAAAAGCCTTTGATTGTGTGGATCACAACAAATTGTGGCAAGTTCTTAAAGAGATGGGAGTACCAGACCATCTCATCTGTCTCTTGAGAAACCTATATGCGGGTCAAGAAGCAACAGTGAGAACCGAACACGGAACCACTGATTGGTTCAAAATTGGAAAAGGAGTCCGGCAAGGCTGTATACTATCACCCTGCCTATTTAACTTATATGCAGAGCACATCATGAGAAAGGCAGGGCTAGATGAATCAAAAGTTGGAATTAAGATTGCCGGGAGAAATATCAACAACCTAAGATATGCAGATGATACCACTCTAATGGCAGAAAGTGAAGAGGAACTAAAGAGCCTCTTGATGCGGGTGAAGAAGGAGAGTGCAAAAGTTGGCTTGAAACTCAACATTAAGAAAACCAAAATCATGGCATCCGGCCCTCTCAATTCCTGGCAAATAGATGGGGAAGAAATGGAGGTAGTGACAGATTTTATTTTTCTGGGCTCCAAGATCACCTCAGATGGGGACTGCAGCCAAGAAATTAAAAGACGCTTGCTCCTGGGGAGGAAAGCTATGGCAAATCTAGACAGCATTCTAAAAAGCAGAGACATCACCCTGCCAACAAAAGTGCGTATAGTCCAGGCCATGGTTTTCCCAGTTGCAATGTATGGCTGTGAAAGTTGGACCATAAGAAAGGCTGAGCGCAAAAGAATTGAGGCCTTTGAACTATGGTGCTGGAGAAGACTCCTGCGAGTCCCTTGGACTGCAAGGCGTTCAAACCGGTCAGTCCTAGAAGAGATCAACCCCGACTGCTCTTTAGAAGGCCAGATCCTGAAGTTGAAACTCAAGTACTTTGGCCACCTAATGAGAAGGAAGGATTCACTGGAGAAGAGCCTAATGCTGGGAAAGATTGAGGGCAATAGAAGAAGGGGACGACAGAGAATGAGATGGCTGGATGGAGTCACTGAAGCAGTAGGTGTGAATTTAAATGGACTCCAGAAGATGGTAGAGGACAGGAAGACCTGGAGGAACATTGTCCATGGGGTCGCGACGGGTCGGACACGACTTCGCAATTAACAACAACAACAAAGATAAATTTATTTAAGATAACCAAGCATTTACCAAATTTCCATTCTATCCAATCAATTACAATAAAAACCAAGATAAGCTAATTTTTGACCAATTTATAATTCAGAACTGAAGCTGATGACTAGCATAAAAATGCAGGATTTTTTTTTTATATTGCTTTAGAACTACACCTTATCTATAGGATTGCCTACATACCAATTAGTCTAGGACAGGGGTGTCAAACTGCCAGCCCATGGGCCGGATGCGTCACATAGAAGCTGTGCCCAACCCAGTTCCGGCAAGGAGAAAAAAGTCACGATATGTCGTGACACGTCATGTAATGCAGTGGGTTTGACACCCTGATATAGGACAACAGACTGAAATCTGTTTCCATTAAGAGGTTTTAAAAAGCCAGGATAATTTAATACTATACAGTACATAACCTTATATATACAATATTATATATACTATTTAAACTAATACTATATAAATTATTTACAATTTGATGTATTGGCTCCAAATGCATTAAGCAATGCTTCTATTTCTTATTCTATTGATATCGAATAGCGCTTCTCAACCTCAGTGTTTTTAGGGTATGACTTCAATTCCTGGAATTTTCCAGTCAGCATTCCTCATGGCTGGAGAATTTTGGGAACTGAAGTACATACTTCTTAAAATTGCCGAGGCTGAGAAACATTTATATACAATGCTGTAAAATTTATCAGGTATGATCCAGATCTTCCGGTTGTGCCTTTCTGTTGTAGAGTCCCCCAAAAACACCATATCCAGGTTTCAGAATTAGCTAATGAGTCATACAGATGAAATATCCCATTTTCAATCCCATATTCAGAACAGTGAGCAAAAGTGAAGTTTTTTGTCTGAATGTCCATAGTACACCAAAGCTTGTGCATTCCTGACAAGCCAGAATTCTGGTTTCTCAAGACATGAGAGTCTCACCAGAGGATTACTGATATTGTACAAGCATGAATATCAAAAACTCTGATCCTATATTAATTAAAATTACAAAAATGTTTTCCTTCTTTCTTGTTTAAGTTTCATGCATTTTTCTAGCTTGTGGAGTCAAAAATCAACATGTAAAAAATGTTCTGTGGGAGTAGAGTACAAAGGGCAGACAATAGATACTAGAAGACACATTGATCCCTTCGCCTGCCTTTGTTGTTTTTATTAGCTGTTGCTTATCTCCTCCCTTTCAGATTGGTCTTTTGGAATCTAACTGCACCAATAACCATAGGCGACACCCTCCTTAAAAAGCCTGCTCAAAATGGTTTTGTGTGCATTTAATTTTGTTTAGTACCATGACAACTTTCCAACCAGGAATTAACAACCTGAAAAAGTCTGTTACAACCTTGAAATACATCTGTTTAGGCAATCTGTTAAACTGTCTGCCCTTCCTCTAAACATTTACAAGGATGTGTTACAGAATTAGACAAGCCATGGAGAAGCAGATGGTGGCTGAACTACAATTCCCAGCAGCACCGGATAGAATGGTCAATGGTTAAAGGGTCTGGGAGATGTTCCGCCATAAATATAAGGCTAGCTTAGCTTTTACTTTTGGTCTTCCAATATCATAGCAATGTACTGGGTAAAAACAAAACAATGTTCATGTCATTATTATAATGAGGGGCTGCCACCATGAAGAGGGGGCCAGGTTGCTCACCAAAGCACCAGAGGGAAGGATGAGAAACAAGGGTTGGAAACTGATCAAAGAGAGAAGCAACCTGGAATTAAGGAGAAACTTCCTGACAGTGAGGGCAATTAACCGGTGGAACAGCTTGCCTCCAGAAATCGTGGGCGCTCCATTACTGGAGATTTTTAAGAAGAGACTGGACAGTCACTTGTCTGAGATGGTATAGGTCCTCCTGCTTGAGGAGGAGGCTGGACTAGAAGATCTCCAAGGTCCCTTCCAGCTCTATTCTATTCTATAATATCTAAAGGCCACCACACCGAATACACAACATTCTTTAGCATAGTTCTGGTTGTGCTGGACTGTACAGGCAATCCTTGACTTACCACAATTGAGCCCAAAATTTCTATTGCTAAGCAAGACAGCTGAGTTTTGCCCCATTTCACCTCTCTTGCAGCGGTTGTTAAGTGAATCACCAGTTGTCAGTAACACGGTTGTTAAATGAATCTGGTTGCCTATTGACTCTGCTTGTTAGAAGATTGCAAAAGGGGATCACATGACCCCAGGACACTGCAACCATCATAAATACATGCCAGTTGCCAAGCTTTGATCATATGATTGTGGGAATTTGCAACGGTTGTAAGTATGAAAAATGGTCTTAAGGACAACTTTTTCAGTGCTGTTGTAACTTTGAACAGTCACTAAACGGATGGTTGTAAGTCAAGCACTACCTGTAATTTGAACAATTACTTCTGCGCAACAAGAAGTTGAAGACATCACTAAGAAATACAAGCCCAAAGATTACTGAAATACAGTCTTTAAAAGAACCATCTCTTGATGCACTATACTGCACAAATTACACTGGCTTTCTCTGTGCGTTTACTGTGCGTTTACAAAAAGCCCTCCCCACCCAAATCGTATTACGTGATTTCTGTATCATTAGGAAAAATGACTTACTTGCAAGGAGAAGACACGCAATTGAAACGACATATAACTGCTTCACAGTAACATCATAGCGATCCATAAAAAGGTCCAGCAAGTAGACAGCAAGGTGCCGAGCTGTGGGACAAAGTTGGCAATGGCTACTGAGGACAGTAAGGAGGTGAGCAAAGTAGCACCGTCTTTCGATTTGTGGAGAATGGGCCTTGTAGACCGGCAGTTTCAGCTCCTATGGCAACACAAACAGAAGGAGAAAAAAAAGGGGTATTCAAGCAAATATCCATTTCAGTAAAGAGACTATCCAGATCAGCATTGTACCGCTTGTTCTGGCAAGCAGATAACAACCACAGGAATACAAAATGGTCCCATCAACCATCCTGTCCGGATAACTGGTAGGTACTGAAAAGCAATTAAATTTATACAAATTGTTTATATTCTGCAAAAGAAGAAACTTGTGTATGTAGAGAGATCTTAAAAAATAACAACAGCCATTATGCTGTGCACTACGCTAAATACTTAATCACACTTCTGGCAAAGCAGCATTATTTACAAAATCTTACGTTAACAGTGGCGTTTGATAATCCTGACCTATGAAAACCAGGCTCAGGACTAGTTTTTTTCAACTGAGGTTCTACGAGAGATTATGACAGACAAAACAAATAAATAAACATTGTTTTTTTTTGGAGTGTAGCTCATAAAAGTGGGAATTTTCAAATAACACAACTTGGTGGCTGGCCTGCTACTTTCCTATTGTTGTAAAGATCATAAAAGTGGTAGAAACTAATTATATTGTGAGGTTTTTGTATTTTTATGCAGGTGTCCCTTAAGACCTGAAAAGTATTTCATAGGTTCCTCCAAGATTTAAAAAAAAGAAAAAAGCTGAGGAAGACTGCTACTAACTAAGGAGATCTTCCTGACCTTGTTACTACAAAATCTTCACAAAAGAATATTCTTCTGTATATTTGAAGATTGGGGGTGAAGGAAGACAAAGGTGATGCGGAATTTACTTAAAACAAGCAACATCCTAGGTAGTGCTTTTTATTCTGGTTAGTTAAATGATGCATAAGAATTTATCTAACCAACTGAATATAAGAATAAAAAGCACTACCTAGGATGTTGCTTGTTTTAAGTGAAATCCGCATCACCTTTGTAGAATTCAAGCTGAAGCAAAGTCAGAATAGAAAGCAGCTTTATGTTATCAGTACTCTTGGCAATGCAAGGTCTACTTTTAAATTGAGGTCCACTTGCTTCAATAATCCAATGTCTGAGAGCAAAAGAATGAATGAAATAAATGCAATTAACTTGTCTACACTTTTCAAGCAGGAGCAAAAGCCTGGAAGGTGTCTGTGAAGGTATGTGGTTTAATCTCCCTCTGAAGACAAGCTTGATGAAAATTTTTTCCAACTTTTCCAATTAACAGGAGAGGAAAGGGTTAGATATTCATCCAAATCACACACAAATCTGTTTCTAGAACCAGTGCATGCTGTGATGGCCACTGTTTATGATGGAAGAACTAGCTGCGCTCAAGCAGCTAATGTTGCCAAGAAACAATGCAGCCCAAAGCCATGCCATTAGCATTCTGATCAAAGAAGACACCTGGATGAAGCTGCAGTATCTCTTCCCAACTTTCATTCTAGGTTTGTGGGAGGCAGGTACAACATAACAAGAGCATAGGGCTCCTGATAGCTCTTCAGCGGCACTGCCATCAAAATGGAACAAAACAATTTAATGCCTTTGAGAAATGCTATATATTAGTTCAGTTTTGCATAAAATATTATTGGTACTAAGTCCTGAAATCTAAAATCCAGGTCCAGATATGTTCTGTTCACTTTTTTTTAAAATGGGCTAAAATGGTGAAGTTGCCCTGTTTGTAATGACTTGATAAAACCTCTTAAAGAAAAGGATCACAAGTAAATATTTATACCATGATAAAGATCTGATTTCCCCAGGTAAATATAGTCAAGTTTTCTACTGGGATGTACCAGATATATTCTAAACAGGACAATTAGATGTTCCCATAAGTCTGTTCAAGAAGCAAAACCGAATCAACACAGTCTTTTCAGAGACAGAGTATTTTGCAGTTTCTGACTTGACTGGAAAATAAAACTGGATACAAATCCATAGAAAACTACATCATCGCCATATTTAGCAGGCAGGCAGGCATTCTATAATGTCTGTTCTATACTTCAAAAGCCACTTTTATATGTCATCAAGGGAGCAGAACTTAAGAATGACAATGAAGTTCATTGCTTTGATCTTTTGAAATGCCAGCCATAAGGATGTGATACACAGTGCTACCAGACATAGAGAAGACACTTCAATTTATTTATCTTTTAAAATAGCACTAACACAAGAATACTAGTACAATTTAATTACTGACTGGTTTAGCATACATCACAAAGAATCACAGAATCATAAAGTTGGAAACAATCTTGGCGATTATCTAATCAACTCTAGTGTTCAGTGCAGGATCCACTGGAGCACCTGTGACAGATGATCATGCAGCCTCCTGTCTGAAGACCTCAAGGAAAAGAGAACTCACAACTTTATTTGGCAGTCTGTTCCACTGAGAGCTTGTATAGTTCAAAGTTCCTCCTAATGTCTAGCCTGAACCTGCTTTCTCTAATTTTAATAAACTACATTGCAGTTTTAATCCAGACTTTTCCAACAACAGAGGATACATCTTCTCATTCAATTAAGTGACAGCTTTTGGATCTCTAACATTACTCATTGCGTATCACCTTTTACCTTTTGCTCCATTTTGTCCCTGATGTTTTTAAATTGCAGGGTGAAGGACACACTACTCCACATGAACTCTGATCAGGCGCCATAAACTTGGAAAAATCACTTCTCACAATATGCTTTCTAGGCTCCAGTTAATGTACCCTACAATACCACTTTTATTTGGAGCACATTATTGGATCATGTTTAATTACTTTTCACAGGTATTACTGCCAAGTCAGATCTCATCATCCTATACGTGTGTCTTTTTCCTACCCAGTTTAGAATGATATTTCTCCCTGTTAAATTCCATTGGTTTCATTTTTGCACAGTTCAAGCTTGTCTAGTGTTTCTGGAATTTCCTCTCATTCAACTAAGATATCAGCCATACCTCACAGTTTTGCCCCAGCTGCAAATTTTATAAATATCCATCAATTCCCTGTCCAAATCATTGATAAAATTGCTATATGACATAGACACCAGCACACAGCCAAGGATAAATACCCTTGGATATTTTCTTCTAAGGCGAAGAACAACTATTAATGACTATTTTGGATGCTGTCACTTCACACCCAAATAAAGATGTATTGATTTAAGAGGCTTATATGGTCACAATAGTGATAGGAATATACATAAAAACAATAAAAACAAACACCCTCCCAAATAACTCCCAGAGTCTCAAAGCAATACTGTCCCATATGCTAACATTCATAAATAATTGAGCTCTAGCCTCAGCCTATATTAATCCCAGGGTATACCCTTAAGGCAGTGGTTCTCAACCTTTTTAATGCCGCGACCCCGAACCGGTCGTAAGCCGAGGACTACTCAACCGGTCGTAAGTCGAGGACTACTCAACTGGTGCAGCACCGTTTGCAGAATGGGACTTTTGGTGGGCTCAGCAGGGCAGAGACAGCCTGGACAATTCCTATTGGCTTTTGAAAGCCAATAGAATTAGACTCTATTCAAGAGAGTCTATTCTATTGGCTTTCAAAAGCCAATAGAATAAAAGGGAGTAGCACAGCTAAGGAAAACGGGAAAAAATGGCAGACTGTGTTGTTCAGCGACCCCCGTGAAATGGTCGTTCGACCCCAAATGGGGTCCCGACCCACAGGTTGAGAACCACTGCCTTAAGGTCTTCTGGAAAGCTAAAAGACTGGGGAACCCTAGGCGCAGTGTGAAAAGAGGGATCAGCCTAAAATTCCTATGTAGCTACAAGCAAACTAGGTCCAATTCTCCTTGAGTACTATTGACTTTTATCTAACTCTAACCAGATGCTGACCTTTAGTTTAGAAAATTCCTGTGCATAGGCTTTTAGCAATAAATCAGCTTAATTGAACCTTCAGTGTAGACCAGATCCTTCACTGCCAGATCAGGGTACTTCTAATTTTTAATCCTATATTAGAGAGCGTAGGCATTATATAAATCAAAAACTGTTCTTGATTGCTGAAACTATATTAGCTGGAAAGTGTATGGTTAATATCCGACAATAAGACACCATGTGTATAGTTAAACACTGAAAGGAAAATGTTTCATTAGATATAAAAATTAGAAGGGAAAAAAACCGTCAGAGCTGCAATATGTTTGAATCTATGCAAACAGGTAACACCTATAACCAGCCTATAGAAATGTCTATCCAACAGGCTGCTTCTGCCTAGGTAATATTAATTTTTCCAATTAGATCAGATCTCCCCACTCACTAGACATAACTGGGAAGAGCCATCACAACACTAATCCTTTCAAACTCTTATCAGTGTTAACTGTCTTTCAGGCTTTGTGAAAAAACAGTTTTATCTTTCACCAATCAGGCACTGAAAAGATTTGGGGAGGTGGGGGAATAAGAAATCTGTTTCTTCTAGATTTCTAGAACCTAGCACTCTCCAGGGGTATCAGATTTCCAATTCCACAGAGCAGAGGTACACAACCAGTTTTATACTGCAATTTCTACTGGCTTTGATGTGATGTACCAGACCCTGCATTTTGAATGCTGGAGCCAGTTGTTTTTTTTTTTTTTAAAAAATGGTCTCAGTTTAAATTAAAATAAGAATAAAAATACAGTTCATTATTCTGTGAATAATATTCTTCCATCTCATGAGAAATTACAATTTGGTGTCAGCCTCTCTAGAGGAAACAAAGCTCTGGGGCCATTCTATAGTTTGTATATCTCTTATCCTAGGAAATTATGAAAACTGGAGAGCTCTGACACCCTCACAACCACAAGTATCTGAAGCATATCCAAAAGGATGTGGGACATAAACATAATGCAAATGGGTCTTTGCAGCAGTATTAGTGTAGTGGAATTCTTTAGTATCTTCAGAGACGGAGCTATAGTAAATAATAGAATTTCAGTCTCAGATCTACCAAAGTTCACCAACTCATGATATTTTTCTGCACGCACATGGAAAGAATTAGGAAAACGCTCCTATTGCAAGATCCTCATCATTAGCTGTTAATTTATTGTGGTTTATAGCCAACAAGGAAAAAAGAAATTTCAAGAATGAAATGGCCCTTTGAAAATAATCTGGTAGGAGTAGGGGAGAAAATTAAATAGCCTGCTCAAAGAGACAGACAACATTAGCATATACCAAACTAAATATTTAGAGAAATAAGACCTCCTAGGAGATTCTAAGCTTTGACTGTTTCTAATTGCAAGTCACATTCATTATGTTACTGAATGATGCAAATTATGAAAGAAATAACATAGAGATATGTTCTTTCATCTGTTCAAAGCAGATGAAATTCATGTTTACTTTTTTTTTGCATTTTTCTCTTTGAAAAAGCTGGCATATGCATTACCGGCAACACAATGAACAATGGAATATCCAAACCAAAAGAAGCTGAAAAATGGGCAACCTATGGCCATGTGTGCTTTCAAAAGCACACGTGCCATACAGTTTGCTCTTCTTAATTGTAAAACATAAACCAGTTTCTCTTTTTCAGGCAGTGTGCTGAAATACACAGCTAGATTAAAAAAAAAAAAAGCCAAAATATCTTTTTCTCATGAAATATTGGCATTAAAAGGTTGTTCCAACTAGTAGGCTACTTGACATAATTCTGAATATTCCCGAAATACAAATCTCCATAGCAAAGGCATAATAGTGCAGAAAATAGTTAAAACCATTAGATAATTATTCAGAGGTAAAAGGCGGATCTGCTATGCAGTATCAGGGACTATTCTCAGGAAACTGAAAACCAGCTAATGTTACAACTTGATGCCAAATATACACCCTGAGAAACTCTAAAATCCCATAAAGTTTGAGTCTAAAAATGAGCTTTAGATTGGAACATTCCTTAGTGTTTTAAACCAGAGGTCCCCAATCTTTTGAGCACCAGGGACTGGTTCCGTGGAGAGAGGTTTTTCTGCGGACCGGAGGGGGCGTGGTGGTTTCATGTACTGCCTGCATCCCATGGATGGGGCTTTGCTTGTTTGTGCGGACCGGTTTCTGGCATGCCCGGCCTGGTGCCGGTCCATGGACCAGGGGTTGGGGACCCCTGTTTTAAACCGTCAGTTTTAATGTAACAGGGAGCTACATATATTAATATTCATTCACTATTTGATTTCATTAAAGATTTCCACAAAGAGCTGAAAAAGGATAACCAACATTTTTAGCCCGTAAGAAGATATGTTTGCATCTTAGAGTTAAAAAACAAAATTAAAAGTATTTCCATCTCAAGAGAGATATTGCAAAATAAAACTGTCTGAATTATTAAATAATTATCTGTTCACGTACTTAGATACACTTTGCTTTTAGAAGGGAAGAAAAAAAAATCTAGTTGGGGCTACCAGATCTGCACTACATAATCTGGACATGCAGCACAGAAGTAAAGAAAAATATAATGGCATTTAGGGGTCATCCAAACTTTCGCAGACCAGATGTGGCAACTTTATTTTTAGTAAAGGTATTCCTTGCTTACCAAGTTCCTTGTTTAGCAGCTGTTCTAAATTACAATGGTATAAAAAACAACAACAACCCAGATCTGTGACCAACCCTCACATTTACAACTGCCACAGAGATTGCCATTCAGGCATTTTGCACCTGGTGTACATTTGCAATAGTTGCACCATCCTATGGCCACATGATCACCATTTGCATTCTTCATAATTAGCTCCTGAAAAGTAGAGTTAATGGAGAACACAGAGGTAAATTCACAAGTCATGCTCATTTGATGTCTCACTTAATGACAAGTGTGAATCACTTAATGACAATGAGAAGCGACAGGAGGCCTGTCACAGTCACACGATTTTCTGCTTAGCAACCAAGTTGTTGATTCCAATTATGGCCATTAAGAGAGGATTAAATGTATCATTTCCCCATGGAAAGCAATTCTTTCCACATTTACTCAGAAGAAAATGTAAATGTACTTAAAGAAGAGCCTTCATCCATATATCCCATAGTTGAGGAACATAAGATGGGTGGCCTTGTTAAATAAATAAAACCCCAGATGCACACTTATCACACTATTTGAAATAACTACTGTATACTAGCAACTTCAAGGCGCAAGGATGTCATAGTAATGGCAGTTATATAACTGTTGTGGAGTTTTGCCAAAGGAAGAAACAGAGTTTTGTAGAGGCACATTTACTGCAGTGATCATTGGGTGCCTGCTTTAGAAGAAAGAAGAACCCTGAACAATTGATTTCCAAAGATTTTTATGGAAATTGAGGGATACAAGACAGGAAACCCTGGGGATCTGGTTGGCCCTGTTTGGGGAAGTTGTGCAGGTCTCTGCACTGTCCTTGGAGTTAGTTCTATTGTTAGGCAAATAGACTTTCAGGAGGCAGGGAGGAGGGTCAATTTGGGTATGATGGGATTAGGCAAGAGAGAAGAACTGGGTTTGACCTTGGACATATCCAAAAGTGGGAGGGGTGAAGGAGGAGGAGAGCAGTCTCCATTTTATCAGGTTTATTTTTTTCCCATTACATAACTTGCTTTACATCTTACTTTTACCACCAAATTTGTGGTTCAGCTATATCCATAGCAGATCCAGCCAGCAGGATTGCAACTGAGGAATGTGTAGATGTAAGGAAGGTGTCCTTGATAGAAATATGCAAGGCTTGATACCAGTGTGATGTGGGGAAGAGGAAGATAATGTAAATCCACAACAGACAAATGGACTTGCAAAGTTTTTTTATTATTATTATAACCAATCACCTTCTCTTTCCCACCTCCCCCAGCCTCTTCCTTGCCTCTTGCAACTTTCTGTTAAGGTCATCTATCTTATTACATTAAGTACATCTGTTTAAGAACAATTTATTTTCTATTTGTTCCAATGTAAAGTAGATGACATGCATGTTCGACTCAGTAAATTCAAATCTGAAAACTTAAGTTTAATTTCAGTCACTTTTAAAAAATACTAGTTGCATGCATTTTATTTGGAAGTTACTTTGGAAGGGTAACTAAACAGCAGATTGTACCTGTTTTGAATTGTAGTAACAGCAACAGTAAAGAATAGAGGAAAAAAGGGAAGCAGCTGTCTATCTAACCTTCAGTCTCAGTGTCTGGTGAACGTCTGCTGCAAGGTCTCCTTTCCACCATGGCTCTTCCATCCTTAGACTTCTCATCCAAGGAAAAGTAGCACCTGCAAGGTCAGGCAGAAATCAAAGTAAATTAACAAAGGAAATATGGGCACATTTAAGCTTCATCTACTGTTTTTACACAATCCCACATACTCCTTTGTAAAAAGGAGCCGAAAAACATATTGCAATGTAAAATTAGAGATTATCTAGGTGCAGCTTAACCAAATACAGTTGACGGCTGCAAATTTAGCTAATTCTTCCCTCCCCCCTAAAAAATAATTCAGCCCATTAAACTTCTCTACATCTGGATGCCCATTTCATATTTGAATCTGTGCAAAAAGGTTCAAGCAATCTTGGCGGACATCAAGTCATCTTCTCAGCAAGTTACCTGTCGCTCTGTTTTTGCTCAAAACAAGAGCAAAGAGATTTTGATTGGAATACAAGCCATTATCGATTTCCAACTCACGCCCACCTTCCCTGTGGTGGGAGATGGCACCGACTTCCCGGCGGCCCGGCTTTTTTTTTTTTTTTTGCAACAAAACCCGAGATCCTCCGATACCCGACTACAAACGGCAACTTTCATATCTAACTCGCTTTTTCCACATCTGATTCGAGATTGCCGAGGATCAAGATAGCATTTTCCCGGGCTGCTCTCCCTCCTCTCTTTTGAGGTACAAGTGGTATGAAACTTCTCAAAACTCTGCGGACTGAAACTTCTGACAAGCTGCCCACAAAACCAACCCGTGTTAGCGTTACCTTTGCCGATCGCCCGCAAAGCGACAGTCTTTGTCCTTTCCTGAATCCGACGATTTCTTTGCGAGAAAAGTCCTGCACCCCGAGAAAGAGAAGGGAGAATCAAGCTTGCACCCTTGTCCGCCCCCTTTGCTAATCACAACAGGGAAGGTCAGCAGTTGGTTGCATGTCCCTGGGTTACAAGGCGGAGGGAAAGAGGATGTCTCCCCGCCCCCAGACCACCTCGCGCCCCAAATCTCGGCTCCGATTCGAAGAAACGACCTAATTCATTGGAGAGGTTACATACACACCGGCTTTCTACTTGACGCACGCGCACACCTTCCTTCCACCGGGCCTCTGGACGTTGTAGTCCTTTCCCGCTTCCTCTGCCTACACTCCCCTCCCCCCTTTTTATTGCTGGGTTTCGGGCGAGCGCTGGATTGGCTCGCGCCCTGTGCGCCCGAGGGGCTCGTTTGTTCGCGGCTGGCTGTTTTCTTATGTGCCTTATGAAGCCGCCTGGGCGGTTCTGTCGCTGTTCCTCAGCCCATTGTTGGCGCCATTCTCCATTTCTAAGGGATTTAGATAGAGCGTTATCAAAACGTTGGATTCTGCCCGATTGAGCGTGAATAAGGACAATGGCTTTCTGCCCTGCTCAGCTGCTATTCATTGAGTAGTGGGAGGATAATGGAATTATCGCTCCTAACTACAGGGGATGCTTGCACAGTTTCGTTGTCCCCACCCTAAGTTTTGTCCTTTGCTTTGATCTACTCTGCTTTGACATCGCATTGCATAGCATTGCATTTGACGCCCCTTTGTCTTAACAGGTATTACCACACTCTTCATATGGATACTATATGCACGTTTACTGAAACAAGCTGCTATGATGAAGAAGGCTTTATGTTACAGGGAATCGATCTGGCCAATTAACATGAGTTATTGTGTAAACTGGAGCAAAGCGCTCCTAAAAATTCCAAAATGTGGACAAGCTTGTGGAAACTTCAATCAATTTAGCCTGAAAAAAAATAGCAGCTGTTCCCAAAGTACTTTATTGTTCCTTTCCTCACATTAATTGTGAGCAGCAAATCACTACTATTTTTCTTTAGAGAGTATTTGGAAATCACCTGAGAAATGCAGTGCTGTGTTGTTGGTTTGATGCTGCATTGTGACAGAACTTTGCTTTTAAGGACAGAAATCTGAGAGGCGATTGAATTATTAGGCAATTGTGCTCAGCATGAAGATAAATGTATTTAGAAAAGCTCAGCCTATTGAACTCTTGCTAATTGCTGAAGCTGGTAGCATCCAGTGCTTAGGTAAAATAAAAGCAGTATATGGCAAATCTTACTGTTAATTTTGTTTGGTTCCAGACAGTGGCCTCAGCAGGTGACACTTGGAAATTCTTAGGTTGTAGGGTAGACCAAACAATAGGGGGAAAAAAAATCTGACAAAATATTTTCATACTTTTGTCAAAGAATTCTGTGAACAAGTCAAACTCAACTCAAGAGAATAGTCACTTTTTAAACAAATCTTAAGTTTGACTTCACACAGTGTATCTTAGGAATTATAGTTTGATGAGCAATCAATCAGAACAGAGCTGGAAGGGACCTTGGAGGTCATCTAGTCCAACCCCCTCCCCCCAAAGTAGGAGACCCAGTTTGTTAACTTGCTAACAGAGGTCTTTTATCCACACTCCCCAGAGAGTGATAATTATAAGATGTTACCTGATATTAAATGTAGAGAACACAGAGATGATCTTGGAGAAACTACTTGGCATCCATTTGAAAAACATTATTTCAGTGTAGGACAATTAGAAACAAACTCAAACTAGTTCTGCCTTAACTGTCTTGAGTTAAAAAGGAGGAGGATAGAGAAAACACAGTCAGGCTTTCAGGATTCTGTTACAATAGCTAATATCAATAAAATAGAGTTCCAGTCATTCTTGTGGAGTCTGTTTTTTGACTTGGTCTCCCTTGAAGGGCTGACAAAAACATGCTTAACATCTGGGCATTTTGCAATATTGAAGGCTCAGATGCACAGGGATACTCAATATGGCCATTTGGGAAGGGGTGCCTTCAAGTCAATTTTGACTCCTGGGGACTTCTTTTCTTGGCAAGGTTTTTTTGGGAATGCTCTTTTCTACTTCCTAGAGCCAAGAGAAAGTGACTGGGCCAAAGTCACCTAGCTGTCTCTCAGTTTCTATAGTCTGGTGCCTTAACCATTACACCAAACTAGCTTTCAATATGACCAACAGCAAATACTTAGATATTGAATCTCAAGGATTTATCTCAGTCTAATGCTAATGCGGTAAATTAGTTCAGACTTAAGATTAGTGTCTTATTGCAGATAGCCAACTTGGAATGTGCAAGGGAGGGGCAGTATGTACTCATATTGATGTCTATAAATTCAATTGAGAAGAGTAGTTATGGTTAATACTCTTGGACGCCTTTTCTCACTGTTGAATGCTATTTCTACTACCCTTGAATCTGCAGCAAACTATACTGACGTGACCCTGGCTGTTGTTGATTTCTAACCTACCTATTGCCTCTCTTCTCAGTCATTGTCCAGTCACTTGACTTCCCTACAGGACAATGAGTGCAAAAGCCTAACGATTTTATTCACCCTGGATGATATTGAAATAAAGGAGATAATGCTTCTTTGAAGGATGTCAAGTTGCCCCTCTTATGGTCTTGGCTAGGGACAGGAATGGTAAGATAGATAGATAGATAGATAGATAGATAGATAGATAGATAGATAGATAGATAGATAGATAGATAGACAGACAGACAGACAGACAGAGACAGACAGACAGACAGACAGACATAAGAGGTCCTTGGTGCTCTCTGAGCTTGCTTGTTTTCTTGCAGACATTTCATTACTCTAACTAGGTAACATCATCAGTGCTAGTAAGGAGTGCTGTTTGCTGTCAGTTTATATTCTGGTGCTCTGTCAGTGTTGGTGGGGGTGGTCTTAGGGATTTTTGGTTGGGCTGTTACTAATGGCTCTTTGGCAGTTTCTTGATTGGTGTATTGCTTTACTTGATTGTTGGTCTGACCTTGGAATTAATCTATGCTGATCTGAGTGCTGATTACTGGTGGGGAGGTACTCTATTCTTTATTTAAAGACTTTAGATCTATGTATCTATTGTTGTCCTTTATGTGGCAAAATCTTGTTTGTTTGCCAATCATTGGGCAGAAGAAAGGATAAAATTGATAGGTTACTGCTGAGAAATACAGGCAGTCCTCGATTTGCAACCATTCATTTAGCAACCATTCAAAGTTACAACAGTAGTGCAAGAAATGACTTATGACTAGTCTTCACTCTTATTACTATCACAGCATCCCCATAGTCACACAGTCAGAATTTGGGTACATGGCATGTCCTTTAAACAGTTGCAGCGTTCCGGGGTCAAGTGATTGCCATTTGCAACCTTTCCAGAGGGCTTCCAAAAAGCAAAGTCAATGGGGGAATCCGGGTTCCCATAACAAATGTAATGATTTACTTAACCATGGCAAAAAATGTCATAAAATCAGGCACAACTTACTTAACAACTGCTTTGCTTAGCAGTGGAAATTCGGATCCCAACTGTTGTCATAAGTCAAGGACTATCTATAGGAAGGTCAATGAGAGAGATTTAGGAAGACTGACGCAAATGGAAAATATCCCATTTAGTTAGGAATGCTGACTTATTCGTAGAAGGTAAGATAACTTTGTTATTGGGAAAATACGTATAGGATGATAGACTATTTCATGATTTATGTTTTGGATCAGATATTCTAATTTAGCCCCACAACTATCAGCCTCATACATTCTAAGGCAGGATAGAGGGATAAAACATACTTTTGCTCATCAGTGTTTTTTTGTTATCATACTCAATAACATAATATTTAAAATTAGGTAAAGAAAATAATGTCAATTATGAACCAAATGACAGCATATGTACATTTACTTTTGAGCTATTCATGAGGTATTCCTAAATAACATTTTCAATTTTTGCAAGAACATCAAATATTTTCACACAACTAGATCAATGTATTATCTCATTTTTTTGCATAAAATGAATAGGTAAATGTTAATATATGAGTTTCTTTTCTTTCCACAATCATAGTACTTATATATACAGATGAAAATGAGATATAGTATCATGAAAGCCTTGAACACATCTTTAAATAGTATAAAGAATCCAGACCTGAAATTGAGTTAACTGAGGAAGAAACAATATTCTTTTAATATATTCTCAAACTCTCAGAAATAATGAGATCTAGAACAGACTTTCTCAACATGTGCCTGTCAGATGTGTTGGACCACATCTCTCATTGTCTGCAGCCAATCTGGTACACTGATTGAGGAAAATCAGAGTGTAGTCCTGGAGGATATTAGATGGGAGAAAGTTATACATTCTAGTCTTACACTTCAGGTTTTTTTTTGTCCAATAGCACTGGCAGGGAAAAATCCAAGTATGTATATTGTACAGCAAAATGTGTAGATAACAAAATATGCAGGAAAAAAAATACCTATAAGGCAGTTTATTCATGTTAAGCTTAGAGTATAGCCATACCTATTAGTTTCTTCATATCTAAACACAGAGTTCATGAAGGTATCAGAGAAAAACAACAACACCCTACTTTTTTTTCAATTTGGCATTATTGCACAACAATTTGCCCTGGCAATATATAAATGAGGAAAAGTTATAGATCCCAAACATTGCTAGATTTTCATCTATCATTCCATGAGAGACAAGTATTCTAATAAGTAGTTGCAAGAAGCCAAAACTCATAGTTGTAATCTTATCACCTATCTAAACTATCTAAACAATATCACTGATATTATACATAGACTTGGATCTCTTGAAAAGTCTTTATTGCTTGGAAAGATGGATGGAAAAAAAAAGATGGCCAACAGCAAGGTAAATGGTCTCAATTACTGAAGGATGAACCATTAAAAAACCTGAAGGGTCAACTTGGAGACAGATTATCTGAAGATCTGTGTAGTTGTTGAGAGCTGATATTGATTTGAGGGCACAAATCACTTTGTGCCATGGAGTTGATAGGATCTACTTTTCTCAAAACCATCAGAATACAGTTCTAAAAATTATTTTTCTATGAAGACTGCGGTTAAAAGCTCCAGGATCGACAAAGGTGGTATTTGGTATATTATAATTTACCTCCTAGAGAGCTAGAGTTTCATTATAGTGCTGTCTTGCACACAGCTTCTCTTGTAAATTTGTAAGGTTGATTCATAACAATGTAGAGAAGAGATTATAGCTATTCTTAGCAACTCATCAGATATAAACATTAGTACTTAATATTAATATATACATACTACTAACAACATAAAATGCCATTGCCTATGACTTTTTAAAGAACAGAGTGAGTGAGGGAGACAAAATAATAGTTACCAAACACATATGAGATCAGTAAAAAGGGCAAACTCCTTCTAAGTTGATCTCTTGAGAACATCTCACAACTGCCCAACTGTCAAAACAACAGAATCTTGGAATACCCAGGAGAGGCTTTCTAAGTTGCAAGTCACCGTGCATGCCAATAGCACAGATGTCTAGCCAAGATATGCTTACCTTTGTTCATATGCTTACAAGTAATGTGAAAGCTTTTTAATATGCTTGAAAGATTGCAGGAAGAAAGCATAGCTCACATCAAAGAAGAAAATATGAAGCCTCTTTTCCAGCGATCGTAACACTTCATATAAGAATATGAATAATGGATACAGAGTTCCTTACTTTGAATTTAAATGCTTGTTGTAGAATTCTGCAATCTCCAAAAGGGCATACTGATGCATTAGAGAGCTAGCTAAAAGCCTGAAAAACATCAGACAATTTTAAAGAGGCAGTTGTAGCTTTGTCATCCACATATCATGTATATGTATGGGAATCTTTCCATTGTAAAAGTTAATATGCCACCTCTAGTGAGTGGGGGATAACATTCCCCTGCCTCAATTTTGATTCATCTGGAATACATCATTAATGGCACACTTCAAAGAGCCCCATGAAATATGAGAGAGGCAACAGGCTCTATATGTTTACAAAAGATATTTCCAGAACTTAAGACCTCCAAATGGAAAAACCATCTGATGTTTTAGTTATTTGCAAGTGTGCATTAAGAGCATGTGCTAAAACACTTCTAGTTCTTTTTTGTAAACAGCTTTAATTAATTCAAAATTGTATTTCTGGCTCAGCATTTTGCACAAAGGAAAGTAAAGAGGGCCCTACCTGTTTAGTTTCTGAGCGGCTGTGTGCCGTGAGCACTGTTGTGAAACTTCAGAATGGTAGTAGGTTATTTGGCCACTAAGTTGCTGAGTTTCTGCTTTTCTTTTCTTTCCTTACCAAGTAATTTCAGTTTAGATTTGCAAGAACTATCAGGTAAAATATCAGTACATATAAACATCTACCAAAATATATTCAATTTATTTTGAGCCTGAATGAAATGGTTAATCTTTTAAAGAAGGCACAGTTTTGAGCTCAAATCACAAAACCTATCTTTTTCCACTGCCATCATCCTCCAGCTATATAATTATTTGGGTGGACATATGCATTATTTACTTTGGGAGGATTTCTTATTTTTCTGCTTCTGGGGCACAGAGGTAGATACATATCTTCTACCTGACAATAAGCTTTCAGGTCAGCTGAAGCAAGAAAGCAAGAAATACATGCCAATGTATTTTCTTTAGTAAGAAAGTCACATCTTGCAATATTTTATTATAACATTTTGTAAAGCCACAGGCAAATTTCACCTCTGTGAGTTATCTGCTTGGGTTCCAGTGTCTACAGAGAGACTAAAGTGATCAAAGCCTTCCTGGATTTAGAATTCTCTCTCTTATACATGGAAGGATGTGAGATATATCAGACATTTTCCTCACAGATCTCTGCACCATTTTTCATACATGTCCCAACTCCTTATGATAGAAAATAATTTTCCTCTACTTTGCACTTTTTTTTGTTACTTTTCTCCTTCTTGCTTTTGGTCAATAATTTAGCTTGATGAAAACTCTGTGGAATTTGGAACATTGTCCTTAGTTACATGACATTTTAATTGTTTCAACAAAGGCTCAGAGTTACCAACTATAGTTGTTTTTCCCCTTCTGATAAACTTCATCTGGGGACTTCCATGGCATTTTATTCCACCCCAGAGTTACTGCCAGATAAAGAAACAAAATCCAACTCCACAGACAAAGGAAATAAGATAACATTCCTACACCCTTCTTTCTTTTGGTACAATACAGCATTTGTGTGCTTGTTTCTGGTGGTATGCAAAAACAGGAGTAGCTTGAGGAGGAAAGAAAGATTGTAAAGGTTTCCCAGCTATTTTACAGTATTCCTCTATCCATTTGAGTGGGAAAATAAAATGCTAGCATTCTGACGATTTTGCAATTAAATGCTTGTTCTTATAGTTGTATCCATGGGATGGGCAAAGATGGAGATTAAACAATGCATGCAGGAAGAGACATGACTCAGGAACAGGATCCTGTACTTCTATGGAGGGGAAGGGGAGAGAATAATGGCTAGCTTGAGCCAGGAGAAAGGGTGAAGCAAGCATTCCCATCAATGGAAAAATGGACTATTGAGAAGGTCTGCAGAGTTGTAGAGATCAACTGTTTGTGATTTCCATTAGATCACAACCAATATTTTGTCAAAAATCAAGGCTAACACTTAGAATCCACTTAAATCCCTCCCACTGCCTGCACTCAATATAGGGCTTAAGGCATCTTTGCACAATCTGAATTCATTATGGTGGACTAGATCAGAAGTCCCCAACCTTTTGGGCACCAGGGACCAGTTCCATGGAGAGAGCTTTTTCCACAGACCAGAGGGTGTGTAGTTTTGTGTGCTGCCTGCATCTCGCGGATGGAGCTTTGCTTGTTTGTGCGGACCGGTTGCTGGCATGCCATGGCCCGGTACTGATCCACAGACTGGGGGTTGGGGACCCCTGGACTAGATGGTTTGAAATTAGTTTTTGGTTGTCGTTAGTGATATGATACTTAACCACTCTTAAATTAATGCAATATTTAGATAGCATAATAGCCCATACACTGGAGATATTCAACCTAGAGATACAAACTGTAAACCCCACATTTTGTAATAGGACAAAGATTAGATGTCTGGAAGTTCCCTAAATGATTATACAGTGATCTAATAGGAAGTTACAGTAGGGCAATTTCGAAACATGATTTCAAAGCATATTATGGTTTGAATGCCTTGTTCAACCCCAGGCTTCCTAAATGTTACTTCATCTCTAAGAATTATGCTTTTAATTTTTATCCTAACACCTAGTATTCCTTGTTATAACAGCAATTTTTATCCTGTAGTCCACAACATGATCTATCATATCCTGATTTAAAATGGCCTGCTGGTTTATTTAAATAATTGTGGTGAGAGAGATCTCTGAGAAAATGAAATGCTTCTAGTTTGCTTTGATTCATTATATGTTCTCAACATTTGTGAAGGGCTTCATAACATGATTATAACTTCCTGAATCATTTTAGTTTAATGAAAATTCCGAAGCCTCTGGTTTTGGTAAATCAGAAACTCTGGATTAGAAATCTGGCCAGGGTACTCAGATACTGTATATCATTATCTAATGTCTGAAGCATAACCTAAGGCAGGGGTCTTCAAACTTGGCCCTTTTATGACTTGAGGACTTCAACTCCCAGAATTCCTCAGCCAGGCACGCTCTGGGAATTGAAGTTCACAAGTCATAAAAGGGCCAAATTTGAAGACCCCTGGCCTGAGGCATGAATGAAAAAACCAGCAGCTGAGAAACCATAGAAAACATAATGAACTAGTCAAGTTAAGCCCCAGCTCTTGGCTGCACAGCCCAGGGACTTTTCTGTTTGAGGAGTATATTAAACAGTCACTCTCTGATCTTAAACTAGCAGAAGGTTCTTTTTCCCCTCTTGGCCACAGCAACAGAACAAAAATGTGAATGAGAGACGGGCAGGAGGAAATGGTTATGGCCTAGGCACCCAGGCAGATCCTCTGGGTACCTGGCAGGACAGCAAAAGAGAGGAGAGGAAAGAGCAGAAAGCTCCCAAAATGTATCATATCTTTAAATTAGTGAGCTCTGGGTTTGATCCCGAAGTGCTGTAAAATACTGGTTTTTCATGTACATTGCTTCCATACAGCCATTCATCAGAATAGCTACCAACCACAGTGACTTTAAAAAAAAAAAAAAAGAACGAACAAAAAAAGTATGTTATAAGAAACCATCTGGGAATATGGTCTTCTAATCTAGAGCTTTCAATATAATGCTTTGTTATTGAACTGTTAAGCAACAAACTCTTTCTTCTGGTCAATCCAAGTCAAGAGCAATTGTAGTCATTTGGCTATCCCTTACCTTTAGGTATTTCCAAATGAAATAGATGAAGGCAAATTGAAAATAATTTCTCAGTGCTTGGAAAGAGAATAGGGATTAATAAGATTAAGTCTTTTAAAAATAAGAAAAATCTAGATTAATGTGGCGTTTCCCTTTCTTGCTATTGTACTATTGTAGTCTGCAGTATTAACATGTTATTGCAGAATAAAATTGTCCCATTAATTCTATTTTGCCTGTGAGTACTGGCATCATGCACTGGCAATCATGGAGTGGGAATCCAGCATCCCTTTCTCAGGAGAGTTTTAGATCAAGTCATTGTTACAGATTCCAGTTATACCACTCACCCTATAATGCTTTGCTAACCAACATATAATCAGTTCCTAATGAAACAGGGTCACGTGTAGAATAATAGATGGCACATTTGATTCTTTAAACATTTTAAAGCTAATTCTCTACTTCAGGGGTTCTCAACCTTGGCAACTTTAAGACTTGTGGACTTCAACTCCCAGAATTCTCAGCCAGCAAAGCTGGCTGAGGAATTCTGGGAGTTGAAGTCCACAAGTCTTAAAGTTGCCAAGGTTGAGAACCCCTGCTCTACTTGCTTATATATTTGGTTTGAGAACCAGATACCATTTATATTTGCTCATAGAATAAAGGAGATTTTCAGGGAAAATGGAATACTTGTGAATATTTGTAACTGTTTAATAGTAGCACTATTTTTTTTAGCATATCAAATCCTTTTGGTGTTATTAAAAACATGTAGGGTGATAAAGACAGACTTGCTGTAGTGCTAGCCTGAATTTAGGGGAAGGACCATACACTTCTAGCATTGGAACACATACATGCTTTACAGCAGATCACCAGATGCATCTATGAGTTTCCTGATTAAAGATAGCATTTTTGAAAAGCACATTCCTGAAACTCTCAAAGGCATTGTCCCTCTATGCAGGCATTCAGAAACTAGGCAGATAAATTCAATTCTAGTTTAAGTACTACCTGACCATCATTTGCAGCACAGGATAAGTATCTCTTTCTGCTTTAGAGAAGGAGCATCGGTATTGGTTGGTATAGGATAAAAATGATTTCTTTTGTGTTTTGCAGGAAAGGACATTGATAATAAGCAGAAGACTTCTCATCCAGATGATGGAGTCATATACATCAATAAAAAGTTATCTTTTTTTCTCCCCTTCCTTCTCATTTGGAAACCATTTGTGAATGCATATCTATGGAAAAGAATAAATCTTTAAGGGTCTGCACCATCTGAGACAAAGAAACCCCAAGATTTAGATTAATTATATAAATATTGGAGGCGCTGTAGGCCATTGTCCTCTTAGGCCTGGTTTTGTGGCTGAAGGACTTCTTCAAAGATAAATGTACATAATTTTCCATGCTTATTGTCTTCCATTAGGTTTGTTGAGGTTGGTAGTCCCCTTTACATTTCATTGAGGTAATCCTGATCAGCATATATCAGAAAGCCAGTAAAAACGCTATCTGTCCAGTAAGGATCATAGAACAGCCCGTTCTGTTCTGAATAATATATCTGCAGCCACACTTCATCCTTCTGCTTTAGGGAAAGGATTGTCGATCCAGAAGCAATGTCATGGTTCCCGGTGTTGGCATCAAATGTCTTTATCCTGTACTGACCATTGTACACCAGCCCAATAGCCAAGTGTTTATTGGCCAGTGTGATATCGTAAGTGAAATAATAGACGCCGGGGATGTTGCATATAAATTTCCCACTGGAAGTGTTGTAATTTCCACCTTCATTCATGAGGACCCTGTCAAATTTGATGGGCAGTCTCTCCTTTGGGTAACTTTTAGTCACAGCAACAGAAAAAGCTGATCTGGCTTTCTTGGCCTTGCATTTGCAAGGGCCAGACATCCCAATGTCTCCCTGAGCTCCTCGGGGCCCTTTCTTTCCAGACCCCCCGCTTTTTCCAGGGGGGCCCTTGGGGCCTTTTAGACCACGGAGACCAGCTTTGCCAATGGCTCCTGGTTTTCCTTTTGATCCTGGCTGGCCTGGATTTCCCATCCTGCCTTGGGTACCTACGAGAAAACACAATCACAATGAGTAATCATACAAGGGACTCATGGGTCTTTTGAACATAGCAACCAGAGGGCCAAAATTGGTTCTGCAACCCAGGAATTTCCCACCTATTTTGAACTGCATTATTTTATGGGAACAATATCCCCATCTTTTTTGTCCTGGTCATTCTGTTAGAAAATGTGGATGAGAAAATATATTCTCTTCTAGATAGGTATTTGAAAGAAAGGAAGAAAAAAAAAGGATTCACACATCCTGTAAAGCTATAATAGAGTTTGTTTTATTCTGGGCTTGTCATGATATGTAACTATTACTGAATGGGTAAATGAAACCACTGCAGCTTCATGAACAAACCACCATTGTAAAATTCTGGCTTATTGTTCTGTGGGATTGGAATCAATATCTCTAGCACAAATTATTTTTGTAAAATCTACTACATCAGACAAGGCCAAGAAGTCATTTTTTCTTCTCTCTTTGTACTTTTATTTCTTCTTTTTATCTTATAATGAAATTTAATAAAAAATTTAAAAGTGGAATATCTCTAGCAGAAGGATACATAAGAAGCAGTAGCTGTATGCTAAACCTCCCAGTTGAATTATCGTTCATATTTGCAGTTATTACTCTCTGTTTTTATGCTAAGTAGGGGTTGGATCAGAGTTTTGGTGCAAATGGAAGGATCCTAAGTGAAATTGCATTCAACAATTTCCATTCTGAAAGGAGGTGAGGTGGGAAAACCTCTTGCCAATTCTTCTGCTTTCCATACCCTCATTGTTTTGAAAGCTCTGTCAACCTTCTGGAGAAGATTTTTTTAGGAAGAAAGTAATTGGTGAAAATCTTGTCCGCTTTCTTCTAAAAGAACAAAACTCGATGGATTTCAAAGTCCTGTCTAAGTGAGGAGCTTGTAGAAAGAGCACCATGATAATCTATGATAGCTGAAAATCGGGAGGAGTCTAGTCTTTTCAGAGAAACATTTTTTTTATTGAAAGGCATACACTTTTAATAAAGATTACATGGAATTTTGCCAACACAATTGAGTGAGAGATTGCTGAATCATCTTCAAAAGTTTTAAAGCTACTTCAGAAAGTCTCAACAAACACAAGTATTTCTAACACATTACACTTGTTCATTGATAAATGAGCTGTAATTTGCCCCACATGTAAGCTGTATTTCCATAAACATCCTGTTTTCCCCACCTCGTCCCAATTTAAATCCTATATTAAACCCATAAATCATTTGAGAGCCAGTGTAAGTGGTGATTAAGGCACCTGGCTAGAAACTGAGAGATTGTGAGTTCTAGTTCTGCCACAGGCATGAAAGCTGGCTGAGTGACTTTGGGCCAGTCAGCTCTGGTGATAAGCCAGTAGGTTAATTTCTGTTGCAATCAAAGGATCAACACTTGGTAGATCTGAAAAAAGTGGACCCTGCACTTGCAAGAAAACACTAAAATGAAAAGAAAAATCCAAATTAAATCCTTCATCAGTCTAACTGCTCTGTGCATCTGTTAAAGTGAATTATAGTTCGCAAAAATGTAGGCATTATAACATCTGTTAGTCTGAAAATGTGCAAAAAGGCTGTTTCTGATATTTGTTAGTGGTTAAGAGTCCTGTTGGCAGGAAACTTATTCTCCACCCAACCCAGAATTAGATAATTTCTATTTATAAACAAAATCAGCCAAACAGTACAATTACAGCCCAATTTGGCCTCATCATTCCAGACACAATCTTTCTCCTCTGTATCATCCCTGAGCAAGCTTAGGAGCTAGAAGAAATATTAATATCTGTGTCCTTTCAGTTTCATTTAATTTATATTGTGTTTTTTTAATGAAACATGAGCCAATCTATCTAAAACCTGCCCAACCATGTCCAACTGATAAAAAGCTCTGTTAAAATTAAAAATACAGAGTACCTAAAGAGTCTTCTTGGGTCATTTTGTCTCCCTCCTTCAAACATATACCTGGATAGACTGTTTATACTTGCTGTTTAAAGCTAAGGAGTCATCTTACCATCCTACCACACATCTCATTTCTGATGGAGATATAGAATAAACCATTTGACAATGATATCTACATTTTATTGTCTGGGGTCCCACAGTATGCTGAATATGAAATGCAAACTCATGTGTAAATAAGCCATTATGGTTTGTAAGCGGGGTTAACCTCTTGAATTAGCATGTGTGAATCCACCAATAGTTAATTGTGGATGACCTGTTATGTGGAGGACCATATCAGACTTTTCTTAATATGTCACATTGTTCCCAAAATGAGCAGGTTCAAAGCCTGTTTTGGGAAAGAGTTTCAGTGTTTTTGTTTTTTTTAATGATATGTGCCTTAAACCAGCGGTCCCCAATCTTTTTCTGGCTTTGCAGACTGGTGGTGGTGGCAGGTGAAGGTTTCCTGTGAGCGCAACTTCATTTGTGCAAATGGAACTTCATGTGCACATGTGCTCGCCTGCTGCTTGTGCAAGTAGGAGTTGTGCTCACATGGCCCGATTCTGGGCCATGGCCCAGCGGTTGAAGATCCCTACCTTATACAGCTATAAAGCTGAAAAAAGAAATATTTTGCTATTTAAACTCTACTCTCCAAAGTGCTCTAGGAAGTTTTGGGATACCATAAAAGAGTAATCTTGATGGGCTGCATGAAGTCTCTGAATAACATTTGTTTCACCTCTATCATAAGTTATGATTATGGACTTCTGAAATAATAAATTAAGATGCCATAACTAACACCTTGTTCGAATATATTTTAAAAAATGACGTTCTTCCTTAATTTGATTTAGGAGAGAGGGGTAATAGGTAAGAAGGGCTTATGAAAGAAAATGGATTTAGTACTGTAATGGCTGGTTTAGATTTCCCCATTCTTTTTGGACCCCTTCTGAGATAGAAAAGTATCTTGAAAAAGAAGCCATCTCTTACCTTCCTCCCCTGGCTGTCCTTTCTGTCCATCTTCTCCATCTCGTCCATCTTTTCCTGGAAAACCCATCCTTCCTATATTCCCAGGAGCACCCGGAGCTCCGGGAGCACCTGGAGGGCCTTGTGGTCCTAGCACGCTGCAGATTACTTGCCTGGGATTTTTCTGAATTTCTGCTCTTGCAAAGCTACTGAGAAATTGATTAGCTATACAGGGAGTAATCCAGGCAACCAGAAAAAGGAAGATCATGGTGATACCTGCAAGAAATGAAACAGAAGCAATTATGGGTACATGTTGCAAGAAGCAGCTAGGACTGGCAGGAGTACTGGCAGTGCCCCAGGGCTCTGTTCTGGGCCCAGTGCTCTTCAACATCTTCATCAACAATCTGGACGAGGGGATAGATGGGGAAATCATCAAATTTGCAGATGACACCAAGCTGGCAGGAATAGCCAACACTCCAGAAGACAGACTTAAAATACAGGAGAATCTGGACAGACCTGAACACTGGGCACTACCTAACAAAATGAAATTCAATGGTGAAAAAAGCAAGGTTCTACATTTAGGCAAGAAAAACCAAATGTACAGGTATAGTATAGGGGGTATCTTGCTCAATAGTAGTAACTGTGAGAGGGACCTCGATGTCCTAGTGGACAATCACTTAAATATGAGCCAGCAGTGTGCTGCAGCTGCCCAAAAGGCCAACACAGTGCTAGGCTGCATTAACAGAAGGATAGAATCAAGATCACGTGAAGTATTAATGCCACTTTACAAGGCCACACTTGGAATACTGCATCCAGTTTTGGTCACCACGATGTAAAAAAGATGTTGAGACTATAGAAAGAGTACAAAGAAGAGCAACAAAGATGATTAGGGGAATGGAGGCTAAAGCATATAAGGAACGGCTGCTGGAATTGGGTATGTCTAGTTTAATGAAGAGAAGGACGAGGGGGGACATGATAGGGGTATTCCAATATCACAGGGGCTGCCACAAAGAAGAGGGAGTCAAGCTATTTTCCAAAGCGCCTGAAGACAGGACAAGAAGCAATGGGTGGAAACTAATCAAGGAGAGAAGCAACCTAGAACTAAGGAGAAACTTCCTGACAGTTAGAACAATTAACCAGTGGAACAACCTGCCTCCAGAAGCTATGAATGCTCCAACACTGGAAGTTTTTAAGAAGAGACTGGACAGCCATTTGTCTGAAATGGTATAAGGTTTCCTGCCTGAGCAGGGGGTTGGACTAGATGACCTCCAAGGTCCCTTCCAACTTTATTATTATTATTATTATTATTATTATTATTATTATTATTATAGGAGTGGAACATGTCACATAATTAACAGGACAACTCGCTGCAGGACAGGAGTTACACTAATATCAAAGAAATAGTGGGACAGAATCATTGAAGAAAGGTTGCAAAAAGAGGGACAGAATGAAATGTGAATGACAAAAATTAAAATAATTTTTTATTTTAAATAATTAAGTAGAATTGTTAAATTTTCCCGCAGCCAGTTGTCCATGGTGAGTTGGCCGCAGCAAGTTGGCTGTGGCAAGTTGTCCCATTTTGCACCCAGAAGGACCCTTTTGGCACTTCAGGACTATCGGATCTATTGTGGCAGCAGCTTTTGGGTACTAGAGCCCACATAATCCGACACATGCAATGTTTACAGGAGTTAGAAGCATAGATCCACTGATGGTTGATGGAATAGTAAGCATTAATATGAAATGAAGAAATTAAAGGGAGTGGATTATGTGATTAATAATGGTCATTTCCCAGGCAATTGTTAAGTAGTAACATACAAATACACTCTCTCTATTGGATAGCTGATTTATGCAAATAGTGGGATTTTTCTTTAGCAAGACTGTTTTTTTCAAGCCACAAGGTATAAAATGGAATGCTGAAATGCTCCCCCACTTATTTCAGATTTGCACTAATTTCTTTCTTTCTTTTCCTTTGTAAAACGAGACTAACCTACCTGGCTGGTATACTGAGACTACCCCAGCATAATGCCGTGGCCAAAGTTATGGGAAAGTCTAGATTCAAATCCCTTCTCAACCACAGAGCTCATGGATGAGTTGGGGCCCTTCACTCTTTCTCATTGTCCAACCTCATAGTGTCATGATGAAGATATAAAAGTAGGGGAGATCTCAAGTATGCTTTGAGGTTTCTTAAAAAATGAAGGATGTAAATTCATAAACGAACGAAGGAAATAATAACTTGCAGAAAATAGTGGGGCACTGGTAGAAAGTAATAGCAGGTATCATATTGGATTTGTAAAGGTTCGAATAATATTATTAGGTCCTGCAATGATGTTGTCAGACAAGATACGGGGAAGGGGAAGCAGCAGAACTGGCACCTGACACAAGATCTACTTCCTTTGTTGGTATTTGTTGGTGATCTGAGTGGAACCGTCCAGTGTGTTCCCACAATTTGTGTGATTTCTGTGGAGCTGGGGAAGCTCCAGGGTAATACTCAGAGAGAGTTTTACGGTGTTTCTCTGGAGTGGCGGAGAAACATGAGTCCCCATTGGTAGGAGCTTCGGCCCTTTCTAAGCTTGGATTTTCTTCTTTCAGTTGCAGTGAGAATTATTTTCATGGCCGTGAAAGGACATCCTAGAGGGGAAGAGCAGACGACATTTCCCTTGAATCATCGAGAGGGAGTATTGACCACCGGAAGGATGAGAACGTTTTCTTAGGACATGAAAAATTTGCTTACAACTGGGAGTGACAAACTAATGATCACCAGATAGAAGAGGTCTCTGAGTGCAGATCATGGAGAAAGAGATAGAGATATATAAATGTGTGTACGTGACAGAGAAAGAGATCTCAAATTTGAAAAAAAAAAATTCACTGGAGTGTAATTTTCTGAGTCCAAGTTAAAGGGAAGAGATTTAAGTTTAAATCACAGAATATAAAATCAAACTATGACCACTTCCCACCTGTAATAACTTAAACTGGGGGAATTAGGAATGATAGAAACAGTCTGCATGTCTTCAGGGAAAGAGAGCAATGGAGATCAAACACAGTTTCTGGTGTGTTTCCTCATTGCAAATTGCTTGCTGGAGAAATGTGTTACGAATTATTTTTATATACAGAATTCCACCATCTCTCTCTGTCTCTCTGTCTCTCTGTCTCTCTGTCTCTCTGTCTCTGTCTCTCTCTCTCTCTCTCTCTCTCTCTCTCTCTCTCTTCTGAGGTTTTCCCGGGTGTTTGTATGTAGGTCTTTGGTTATTCGGGTTTTCTCCCGCATAAAATTGGAAGTGTCTTGGCGACATTTCGACAAAGTTGACTTCATCAAAACGTCACCAAGACACTTCCAATTTTACGCGGGAGAAAACCCGAATAACCAAAGATATATATATATGAATGAACCCTGGGTATATCCATATTCAAAATAAATAAATAAAAGTGAGCACCAGGGAATTCCAAACTGTATAAAGGTTTAATAAAACCGCCAAGCTTTCGTCAGCAACTGCCGACATCATCAGGGCTTAAAATGCTAGTCAGTGAGGAAGTCCTTTTATAGATTGGTCAAGGTCTGCACCCGCGTCCTAGAACTCGTCATTGGGCCTAATTAAATAAATTGTGTTCCGGTTGCAGCTGTTACATTGGCAGTTGTTCTTTTCTTGCATCTCTTGTCTGTGTGCGTAGCACCACACATTCTCCCTTCGTTGGCCTCAGAATCGGGCAGGGTATCCCCCCCAAACAAAAAAAGGGGGAATACCCTGCCCGATTCTGAGGCCAACGAGAGGAGGGATTGAGGAGTGTGTTAATGATAACAGTGCAGGGAGGGGGAGACAGCACAAGGATGACAGAGCAGAAAAATACAATGTTAGAGTGCAAAAAAGAGAGGGCGGAACAGTTAAGGCAGTCACAGGCAATCAGGAAGAGTGGCCCTGTCACGAGGGCAATGAGTAGGCAATTGGATCAGCAAGGGGATAAAAAGAACTTCCCACCCCCTAAGCCCCACTCTGAGGACGCTGGCAGAGGACCAGCGAAAGCTAAGTTGTTTTAATCTTGTATATAACTGTTTTTATTGTTTTAAATGTGAAAAATTCTCACTCAAGGCACACTGGGTCAAATTATTATATTTTGATACATGAGGCAAAGCATAAGATAATAAGATAAAAATATAAGAAAAATAATAGTCCAACATAAAAATATAAGATAATAAGGTAAAAAACATGATAGAATCAAATTTTAAACACTAGAAGGAAGCTTTCAATTAAAGAACACAAACTTGACTAACAGTTACAAAATGATGCAGAATATTGAAATATTGGAAATACTGAAGGATATTTTTAAATAATGGACTCATTATTTCATTACTATTAACAATGACAACAGAAATATCTGCCTCTATGGATAGAATGTCTCTAAAAGATGTTATGAAAGAAGAACAAATTTTATCTGAACTGAAAGTGGACTTACGGATAAAAGGCTACAAGAATGACATGGAAAAGGATTCTAGACTGGATATACAAAAGAATCTTCCCTTGAGATGGGGAGGAGAAAGAGACAGGATATGTCCATGAGCAATTAATAAATTTGGGAGATTAACAAGTTTAATGGTGAGTATATGGGGAACAAAAGCATATCAAATTTGTTGGCCAAAGGTATGGGAAAAGAAAAACTCATAGTTTTAATGGAATACATACCGTAGTTGGATTAGTTATGGAAAGTGAATCTGCTATTTTTTAACCTCTTAAAAGTTTCTTTTAGCAGTTAAAGAGGAACAGATGGATCCTATTAGAAATGAAGCTCTCCTTCATTTGTATCACAAAAGCCATGGCAAATATCTCTCTGGATATTTTTTTTTTGTTCTCTTAGTGTTACTATTTAGATACTTAAAATGAATACTTTAGTTCTGGATTAATTTTATCCCTTCCCTAGAAACAGCAAAGATTTGGGGTTTTTTTCTTTCTTTCTTTTTTGGTGTTATATCTTTATTTTAAAAACAATTTCTTGGTTCAAATCAGATAGGTTGTTTATGAGAGCGCAGAATCCAAGACAAGTCATTGGTGGAGTTCAGTGAGAGAAATGTGCAAATTAAGGACGATCTTGGCCACCTCACTTTTATTTTTTCAGTTTTAAAACTGAGCTCATCAGAATTTTACCCTTTGTCATTGATCATGTGTGACCTTATTCATGGGAGAGTCACAATTCCAGTGATTCCTTGGTAACACCTTTTTTTTTTTTTTTTTTGCATAAGGGACAGACTTTGCAACTGCAATTTTAAAACTCAGCATTTCTGCACTGTACTTTTTCTTCCCGTGTCCTATCAGTGGCATACAAACCTCAAGAAATCAACTGTTTTAAGGTGGCATGCTTACTTTAGCAGTAAATTGCTCCTACTTTTAGCTTGCATAGCCTCTGGCTGAAAGCCCTAGTTAAAAAATACTTTAATGAAGTTAAAAATAAAATGCTACTTACCAGCACCACTTTCTTCAAGCAGTGCCTGACATCCAGTTGAAATCTGCTGAATCTTAAACAGATGTCCTTCAGCAGGACCTTATCCAGTTTTGTTGGAAGTTACTGCCACAAAGCACTTCCTTTAAATGAAGCATCTGGAAAGTTTGCCTTCTCAAATAAAGTTTGTTGAAGTGGCTGCCTTGCATTTGCAACGCAGTTTCTTCTAGCAGCTTGTTTTTTTGGCTCAGCTTTGCCAGAGGCATATTTTGATTATTGTGTAATGTGTTTGAGTGTCTGCCTTGAGTCACGTGAGATAGGGAAGAAAACCTTCCACACATGTGGCTAAACACTTGGAGAAATCCCTTCCCCTGTGTCAAAGGCTTCCAAGGATCAGGAGCTGCTTGTTTTCAACACGCTACCTGGTGATGCTAGAACAATGTTTCTGTCTAAGCAACTAAGATATGTGGACTTCTCCCAGAATTCCTTGGCCAGTCCATGTCTTAAAGCTGCTAAGGTGGAGGACCATTGCCCATTACTGGTCAGCGGGTAGCCCTTAATCTAGCTCAGAAGTATTTCTAATTCTGTTCCAAACAATTTTGCCAATTTTCAACAGGTGCAGGCATCATGTATTTATTTTAAGATCAGTGATGTACTGTATTGAAAAAAATTGTGCAGATGCTCAGTGACAAATACTGTACATGTACTAAGGAAATTTTCAATTATGTTTTTGTGGCAAGATTCTGAAGGGTTCTGGAACAAAGGGAAATTGTTTAGTTTTAACTGTTGCTTTCTTGCTTTTTGTAATTGACTTTTGCACCAGAGAAATGTCATGCAAGCGTGGGAAACATGTACATGGATGCGATATACTGAAGGAGGGAATAAGGGAGTGTACAGGAATAATTGATGTCTTCTTTACGATGTAATGGCTCTGTTGTTTGATATTCATTGGCTAACAAAGTTTATAAAGCAATGCTACCAACTTTCTAAGATGTGACACTTCTGGACATAACTCTGCCAGCATTCCAGATTGTTGGCCACCCAGCTGCTTAATTTGATCAAATAAAGTGCTGCTTGATCAAGAAATCTCCGCTTGGGTTATCTGATTAGATTGATATGATATCTCAAGTTCACATAAGGGACTAGGTAGGACCTTACAATTCCAAAACTAACGCATGAACACTTTGGAGAAAGTTTTATTTAAATAAACAAAGCTTCCATTTATAAAATACACACATTTAACAAAAGGCCTTTTAGCCACCTAGAATGGATTCTTTTTTTTTGTTAAAGAAATGTAAGGAATACTACACCTGTCATAAATACATGCCAGTTGCTAAGCGTCCAAATTTTGATCACATGACCATGGGGAAGCTGCAACAATTGTGTGAAAAACAGTCATAAATTACTTTTTTCAGTGCCATTGTAACTTCAAATGGTCACTAGATGGTTTTAAGTCAAAAACTACCTATAATTCCAGTTCTTGTTGTCTTTTTCAAGTGTGACATTAAATGGTGCAATAAAACTGACAAGAGCATGTTTGTGATCTTTTTGCTTGTTTCTTTATGTAAACCAGTGACCCCCTCACCATCAGGATGCTTTGACTGTGCCTTACTGTACTTCTTTTTAGTTGTCCTCCGTTTCCAAGCTTTAGCCCCCTTTGTTCCAGCCTTGGCAAACTGTGCAATATTAAGCTACCGGTATGTTCTTTACTGGAGCATTGTTGCTTCTTATGAAATCTGGGAGAGTTTGTGCAGTGTCCAAGAGATCTTGTAAACTATTCTAACAGCAAAACAAAATGCTTAGCTTAGGATATATTAGACTTTATGAGGCAATTTTAACTGCTGTTTAGATTTGTATAGCTAAAAGCCCTTAAAAAAATGAAATGTTCAGAGATGTGAAGCAAAATAACAGTACGATTTAGTTTAGGCTAAAATGGGGCTCATATTTTAAATTAGCACTACCTCGTTTACAATTAACGTAATATGCCAGAACATAGTCCAATATTTATGTGGTAAATAAACTCCAGTGTAATTTGTATTAGGACAATCACAGATGGTGATATGTTATTTTGGATATCAGCCTTCTACTACACTCACTAAAGAGAAACAGAGGTAGATGTAGACTGTGAGTAGGTTCTCCTGCTGTTAGCAATTACAGTATAAAATAAAGGAAAGATATAAAAAAGATTATGTGGAAAAACATATGTGGAAAAACATAGGATAAGAACTGAATTAGAAAAAAACCCAAATATGACAATATGAAAAACCTTTCCTGGGCTGTATTGGATATGGCTCATGAAAAGCATTGGACAGATCTAAAAAACAATAGCTTTTCTAGAATCCAATTCAGTTTAAAGTGCAAACCCAAATTCAGTGATGGTTACTGTGCAAAATTATTATTTTTCCCATTTTCCCCCCATTGTATAAAATCTGGTACAGTATTGCAAGTCTTAGTGGTGTGCTGGCTTTCTTGCAACTAAAACCCCTAGAAGTATTTTGATGAGGTTTCCAAGTGTCAGTTCAGAATAAAAGCCCTTGAAATTTATGAAATACAAAAGTTTTTCTTTTGCAGATAAAATCCTCAAACAAGATAGTATGGAATTTACAGATTTTAAAATCAATCTAGTTTTACTAAGAGTCTAACTTACTACTAAGATGTTGCGTTACACTGGAAAACAATACTTGGACCTAAACATAAAGATTAGTGTAAAAGAATAAGGGAATTATTAACTTATAAAAACTGAGATAATAAAAAGCTTATGTAAAAATAGACATTTTTGGAATAATATGCTTTAAAACAGGGTCTTTTTTTTCTATGCTGCAATTACAAATGTCAAAATATTCTCTATTATTTTCTACTTTTTAAGTGTCAAATTCAATTCATCTGTATTTACCATGTTTCCTCGAAAGTAAGACCTGGTCTTACTTTCTTTTGGGCTCTAAAGTAAGCACTAGGATTTTCTTTTGGGGAGGGCTTACTTTTTGCCGGTACCAGTAGGCCACGAGCACATGGGGGTGGGGCAGGACCTGTGCATGGGATGGAGAAGCTGGTGGCGGACCAGGTAAGGTCCTGGGGTGGGCAGGCAGCGTGTCCTTCCCGTGCCAGGCTGACCCCTGCAGCCCCGGGGTGGCTGTGCTGGGCGGTGACGGGAAGGGCGCCAAGGTGGGGGTAGCAGGCCGACCAAAGCTTAACCCTCACTCCCCCCCAACCCTAACGTGGTGGCAAATGCCCACGGCTGGCGGCAAACAGTGGCGCCGTGGCCCGTTGAAACTGGCCATTTGCCGCCTCATGCCCAATGCCACTGCCATAAGGCTGTGGAACAAGCCGGGCGGTGGTAAGGAACCAATATACCGGTACTGTGGGTCAGATCCCCCCTCCTCCATCGGCTTTGCAGGCCATCTGTGCTGGTCGTTAAGTAGGGCTCACTTTTGGGAGGAGGGCTTATATTAGGCCCACTCTCCGAAAATCATCTGGGACTTACTTTTGGGGGTGGGTTTACTTTTGAGGAAGCACAGTAAAAAATATCCCATCACTTGCCAGCAATGCCTTTCTATTATAACCAGAGGGATAATTTTGGCCAAAAAAGACAGCTCCATAAGAAACAGCAATAATAAGCAACCTTAGGAATTTTCCTAAGGGAGAAATGATTAATCTAATGCATATTGCCCAGTTTGATTCTATTAATTTATAATTAGGTCAAAATGAGTTTTTTCCTTCCACAATTAAATACTAGAGCCAGGAAAATTAGCAATCACACTTCAACTAATATAAATATCCATTATACTTCTCAATTGAGCATTACATACTAACGTTGGTCTGTACTCTTTGCATTTCAGTAATTTCTGGCTTGCCATGTTGACGTGGTAAAACCTCCCTCCAATTTGAGGCCCTCAGTTTGACTAGGCACAGTCAATCCAGGCATATGTTACAATTAATGAACCCTAACCCTAACCCTTTGATACCATAAGACTCAACATTTTGTTAAAATATTACAGTTAGAATTAAAGCATTTCCAAACTCATAAGAATTTGAATTCGTTATTCTTGAATTCCAAAAATAATTACTAAGCTGAAAATCATTCAAAATCACAATGCTTTTAAAAGAATGTAAAAGATTTTCCCTCAACATTATGCTTTTTTTGATATCGTGACACTACAACTGCTAAAATTCCAGGCCAACATGAACAAGTATGGGCAGACTGATATAAAACAAAAAAGCTCAGGGGTCCATAGATGAGTCTATAGGAAAACAGAATCTTTACATGCAACAGAATAACGTAACCTGTTAGAAGTGCAATATCTGCACCACTTTTAATAACTGGAATGCTAAAATAAATTCTGCTGAAGAACTGAGAACCATTTCAGAATTGTGAAATTCTATTAGATTCAGAGAGTTTTCACCAAAGTCAACTTTAATCTATTCAGGGAAGTAAACAATTACGTATTTTTGAAACAGACTCTATCAACTGTGGGCTGTTTGGTATCTGCAATATTTTCTGACTCTTCCAATCAATATAGCTTTTTTTTTTTTTTTTGAAATTCAGAAATTCATTCAGCACATTTCAAGGATTTGAGCAAACCTGCTTAACAAACAGAACTCTGGCTGGCTCTCTTTCTATTTGGAGAGCTCCAGGATGGCTGGGCCATGCTCTAGTGTGATGCGAAAGAACAGGCCATTTCAGCTGACAACTTACTAAGGGAAAGTGACCCACATACAACATTGATCCATTTAGACGCCTATTTACAAGTCCTTTGCCCAAAACTATTGCCCCAGAAAAGAGGCCATGGGATCATCTGGTCGCTGGCGCTTCATTTGGTAAGCCTCCATTTCCTCCTCTGTTGGTTCTCGGTTTTCATACATGCTATTATATGGTCTCTTTCTCTCATCTAATTGCATGATTTCTTTCACATGAAGGAGACGGGCTTCTTCTGCATTCAGTGCCTGAAAATAAAAATTCACTCATGTATTACAGTGGCCCCTGGAATTACAACTATGTTTAAACAATCTAGTAAGAAGATGGAAAGACTCAGTATAGTACAAAGAGTGAAGCTGTGCTAAAAGATAATCAGGAAAAATAATGAGAAATCTGGAAAAAGCTGCAATCCCATAATAGATCACATGGGCCAAGTAAAAGTCAGATTTGATCCAAAGATTTCCAGTGACTGGCCAATATAAAATCTTCAAGAGTTATAGATCAGAATAGGATAAAAAAATAATCTCACAAATAATTTCACAGAAGTGAAACATGTTTTCGTCTAAGCTAATAGTGTATAAATGATTATATCATTCTGCAAATTTATTCAAATTTCACAGACTACTAATAATGCTAAATATAAAAGCTTCAGCATCCATTGAGATTTTCAGTAATCAATAGAAACTTGCTCCTATGTAGCTGTGAAAGTGCAGCTTGCTATTCCAGAGACTGAGAATACAATTTCAGTGGTATCAAAAGGGACACAACAGGAATTTCGGATTCTCTTAAATCCAAGAAAACCAGAACATAGTTTATTATGCAAATATGTTCTGATTGGAAAAGGCAATTGGAAAAGGCAATGAGCCGAGGTGGCGCAGCAGTTAGGGTGCAGTACTGCAGGCCACTTTAGCTGACTGTGTTCAGCAGGTCAGCGGTTCAAATCCCACTGGCTCAAGGTTGACTCAGCCTTCCATCCTTCCGGGGTAGGTAAAATGAGGACCCAGATTGTTGGGGGCAATGTAAATATACATATACATTGCTTACTAGTGTACACCGCTTAAAGAGTGCTTGCACTTAAAGCGGTATATAAGTCTCATAAATAAATAAATAAATAAATTTCTCTTCCCTAAATTCAATATGGGTCTGTGAAAATAAATTTGGATCTATGAAGATCTGTTGCTGGAAAGACAGCTGTAGGAAAAGAAGTTCCAGCATGAGAATTGAGAGAAATAAGCCTCTATTCTCATGTTGGAACTTGGTATGCTTGATAGTCTGTACCAGGGGTGTCAAACTGCTGGCCCACGGGCCGGACGTGTCACATGGAAGCCACGCCCACCCCATTGCCGGCAATGGCAAAACCGTCCGGATACGTTGTGCGACGTCACAAGTTTGACATGCCTGGTCTGTACACTTCAAGAGGATTTGAAAATTCTATAGGATTAATACAGTTGACAATGCTCCTATGCATACCTTTTTCAATTTTTCTTGTTTCTTTCTTTCTTCTCCCTCACTATCAGAACTTGTACTCTTCTTATGCTTTTTCTTTCTCTTCTTCTTTTCTTCTTTTTGTTTTTGTTGGTGTATCTGTGGCAATCGGAAAGATGATACAATAAATGCAGACAGACATAAATGTGGGTACTCTAGGCTGCAGGCAATGGGTACTCAAGGGAGTTACATAGACATGAAACCGATGACCCAGAAACCTCCTGTTAGGGCCAGATACGTGTATCTGTATCACTTACCTGGCAGAGTCCTGTCCTACCTGAAAATTTCAACAACTGCAATAGATGCGTAATTGTCGTTGTACAATAGTTGCATTTTAACTGCCTAGAAAGTGCTATTGTCAAGCCACGAAACCTACTGGCTTTAGGACCGCTGCGTGCTTCTAGTTTGCCAACAGGATAGGAAGGGGGAGAGGTTTGACTCCACAGGTGTTCTTATCAACGTGAGAGCCAAAGCAATTGAAGAGTTTTGGCAAACTGAAGTTTCTTCTTATAATAATTGCTGGAAAATGTATTGGACAATGTGACTTGAACTGTCAGAGAGGGGAGGGAGAATTTGGCTCTTTTAATTAACTGCTTCCCGCCATTTCTTCTTCACTTTAATCCTACCGGTTTGTTATTGCTCAATAAAGTATACATTAGAGAACACAATGGCTCTGGTGTTTTGCTTGCTTGGGCCTTTCAGCCTGAGGTTGACAGCTATAGTAGCTGCCATGTTTTTAGGACTTCATATAAAGCAGAAACAAGTAACCTGAAGTCCATTCACACTTCACAACTTACTTTTCTATTGGCCTCTAAGATCATGCCACTGAATAATGGCAGAATGTTTATTTTTTACTTTTTGCAAATTAAGCAGCAAAATGTGTGGCACCCCCTTAAAGCTTATATGTACTTATTTCACTTAATCTTCCTGCCCTCTAAAATAGACAAAAAGGGAGCTGCCATATCCTGTGACATAATTATACCACTGCTATCCCTTGTGGGGCCTTTCTGGCTAGTGGGAAAAAAAATAAATAAATTACACTCTATATACCAAAATAGCTTCTCTTGTCCTTGTCTGGTAATAGGCTTGTAGGAAAGCCATCCATTAGAAAGAAAACAAAAACAATAAAACAAGAAACCCACCTCCACTAGAGTTTTGGGTTTGGTTAACTGCTCGTCCTCATGCACCTCAGTTAGCAATTCTTCACTGGCATCCTGTGTGTAGGAAAAAGAATGAGAAAAAACCAATTTCACAAAGAGAGTTAAGTATTAGGTTTGTTTTAAAAATGTCACTTTATAGTTCCAGTAAATAAACTATATCTTACAGCAATTTCCTTTCCAGCTTCTCCTGTACAGTATGAAAACTTGACAAATGAGTAGCAGCATTTATAGCCCCATCTTCCTTCTTTCCAGTAAGAACCCCAAATACACTATAAGGAAAACAAAGGAATTAACCGCTTATAATCATGGCTTGCAATTTCATGCAGTACATTTCATAAAGGTTTTTTGTTTCCCAAAGAGATCATGATAAATTTAAGAAATACTTTATTCTTCAAGTATATAGTATTTAGATTTCCATACAGGTTCGGTACAAATGAGCAGAGACAATGAAAAATACACTAATCAGTTGAGTTATATGTAATAATTCCTTCGTATCAAGAACCAAACCCTGTTCTATTATATTGGTTTATTTGAAAGGTTTAGCATCTGCTTAATTCTAATGAAATCAATGGAATCTAAAAAATATGGGATAGATTTTACTTGCAATATTTTTCACACTTTATGCTCATTATCTTCCCAGACAGAAGGTTCAAACTGCTAAAATTAGTTAACTACGCATTTCTATAATTACTTGATGAACTTTCTCTTTGCATTTAACCTTAACCAGTAAATATTAAATGCCTTCCTCATAGAATATTTTGAAATAAATAAGGAAAATAAACTGGTGGTTCAATGAAAGAAATGTCAAGCCTCTATTCAAGGAAACAAGCTGCATCTAGAGTATCTTCAGTTTCAATTCTGCTAAAAACTCCTTCATAACAAATGTTTCACAATACGCTCTATGAACGTATGCATGACTAACATCAAACACTTTGTGATGACTAACACCATAGTGTTATGAATGACTAACAAAAAACAGAGACTTAATGTTTAGATAACAAACTGATTGAACATTACAAACTGATTTCTCATGTTTTAAATCTGATTTTGAGTAAAGTTAGTAATAACCAAGCCCCAATTCAATCTGTTGGCTTCAACTTAATTGTGCCAGGAAAATTCCCTAATGGACCACATGCCACAGTAGAACAAGACTATTAAGACAATAATAATAGAACAAGACTATTTCCTAAAGAAAGCAATCCTAAAAAGTTATTTTAAAAAAATCACTGAAGCCAAAAATTATATTGGCCTCTAGATTTTTGCTGGCTTTTTGCAATTGTAAATCTCAGAATAATTCTGAGCAGAGAATCCTTGCTAACTGTTCATTACTTGAACAGACTGATTTCTAAGACAGAGCTTTTTTATTTTAGGTTAGACCAGGCATTTTTATTTATTTTTAACCAATGACAGCAATTCACTGAGAATGGCATATTGGGGACAGCACATGCCAGGGTAGGGCTGAAGTTATTAGCCCAGCAAGTCTTTGATGTATGACCATTCTTTTATATGATGGCACTGAAAGTATGGTTATAATCGATCCTCAGAGTTCCATCCACCCCAGCACCCTACAAGTCATGTAATTGTGATCCGAGTGCTTGGGATTCACACTTACAATTACTTGCAACACCCATGATTGCGGTTTGTGACCTTCCCTGGTTTCCCCATAAAGTCAGTGGGGGCAGAGAAAGTTAGAAGTCACTAGGATAAGTCTCTCCAACCTGTACACCCTCTCACAGCCCCTGTGTACTCATGCTGGCCCCGTGCACCCCTGCACACACTCCGACTCTCATGCCTCCTCATGCAACCCTTTTTCAAACTGCACCATTGCGCCTTCTTCCTGGCCCACAGGACTCTTACGCACCCCTGGCCACGCCTCTCGTGTACCCCGCTCAGAGCCCCGACTGTGCCGCATCTCTTGCACACTGTGTGCCACTCCACCCTCCCTGACCCTCTTATGCACACCCTTTCTATCTTCATGCACCCCTTTGCTCCCACCCAGAGGCAGCCGCTTACTACTCTGCCAGCCTGGAGCTTTCAAGCTGCTGATTTCGGTTGTAAAAAGTTCCATTGCCTAATGACTGTGGGAGCTGGTTAATAGTAATGGCAACTGAGACTGCAGGGATTGCCATCACTAAGCAATGCAGAGTCTGGTTACACTTATTCTATGCAGAAAATACTTGAAATTAGTTCAAGAACCACAAATTGCCAAGTCCTGCTTGAGGTGCTTACTGTGTGGTTGTTGATCCTTACATCCTCCTCATATTTAGAGCGAGCAACAGCCTTCTCTTGTCCTTTAATAACGGTTCCATGTCTAGAATACTCCACATAGTCTTCTGTCTGAGCAAGTAACAATTCTGATGGTGGGGCATCCAGATGTTCTTCGCCTCCATACTACAAGAAGAAGAAAAAAGAAGTCTGAAAGATTTATTTGCAGGACTCCCTCTGTCAAGGTTCCGACTAATGAAACATTTCAAAGAACTTGCAGGCATTTTATCCTAAAAAGTCTTTTTATTCATGTGACAAAATGTCGGCACGGCATGATGAAAGGATGCTAAGATCTGAAATCTCCACCCCCCCAGCAGTTATTTTTGCTAGCATTTCCCCTCCCTTATTTTGCTGTCATGATTTACCGTTCTCCAATTAGTTTGAAGGGCAAAGATTCTCTTCTGTCCCCCTTATCTCTCCTCCCTCATTCTCATCTGAATTAACTCTAAAAGTACCAAACAGTTCTGCATATTTTGTCAAAGCAAGAATATTCAATATTAGCAGCGTTGACACCCTCTCCCTGAAGATATCTGCCCATTCACCAGATTGGATAAGATGGAGAAGCTCCAGATTCCTTCCCTTAAATATTGCTATCTAGCAGGTCCTAGGAAATGTGCCTCTTCCATAATGATCCCTGCCTTATGGAACAGCCCCCCCCCCCAGGATCTGGTAGGCTCTCACCTTTTCAGTCTTTTGGATAACTGTAAAGTGCTGATTGGGTTGGAACAGGGTGAGGTTGCAGCCCTAGTATGACTTTTTTTGGGATACGCTGTGAAGCATGATTCAGGTGCCAGGTTTTGTCTTTATTGTTTTTGTTGCTTTTATTTTTAGTGTTATTGTGAACCACCCAGAGTTATGTTTTAAGCTGAGTAGCCATATACATGTTTCAAATTAAAAAAAATATATTTTTGTAGCATTTTACAAGCTGTGCTTGCATTTATGCTTGTCTATAAGATTCCTATAAAGGAGACAGCACCGATAAAGGTAGGCCATGTGTTACGATGAATCATTTAGTGATTGTTCAAAATTACAATGGACTCCCCCCAAAAGTCTTTACAACCATGATTCATAAGTTCAGACCCCCCCTCCCCCCCAAATGGTCAACATGTTTAAAAAACTGCCTCAAAATCATCTGGGAATTTAAAGTACCTTACAAAAAAACATCAAAAGCCAAGAATTACATAAGTTTATTCTGACTTTGAAGTTAGATATGTTTATAATTGTGAAGATTTTAACTTTCTCTGGTGAGATGTGAGATTCCCCCCCCCCAATTTTTAATTGATTTATTGTTTAGAGTAATACTGATCTGGTAATTTGACATCTAATTACTTTATAAAGTTTTAATTAATTTATAAATGGGAAATGACATCATAGTGTTGCAAACCTTTTTTTCATCTACAATGGTAAAAAACTTTAAAAAGGACATTCTGAAGGAGACTCTTAATTTACCTTCTCTAAGATGCTTTCTTTCTGCTGTTGTTTAAAGTCTTCTTTTTTCACTTTGAAAGATTTGTACAAGAGTTCAAGTTTTGTAGGATCTGCTTGAAGATGAACTTCAGAGCCTTTTTCATAGGCCTCCCAGGCGAACACTTTGAAATTAAAAGGAAAATATTTTCAGTTTTTCTGAAATACATGAATGTTGAATTATTAATTAATAGGCACTTAGAAAATATTGTGAAAACTCTCTGTGAAGGAAACCCTAGAAAAGAAGATTCTTTCTCTGGGATGCTTCAAGAGACAAATGGAGGAGAGAGAGTGTGGCGGATAAGCACTCATCATCCCCGCCACGTCCATTTCTGGACCAAGAATCTGAGAGAAGTAAAAGGGACTGGAGGACATTTCACTTCATACCACCCCATCCGTCCGTCTGTCCCTCCCTTGATGTCACAGGTTAATTCACTTCCAGCTCCAATCTGCTAAGAATTCATAAAGGTAAAGACAAAGGTAAAGTTATCCCCTGTCTAGTTGTATCATACTTATCTCTATTTCTTAGCTAAGGGAGCCAGAATTGTCTGAAGACATTTCTGTGGTCATGTGACCTGCACAGCTATACACCAAAGGAACACAGAACACTGTTACCGAAGAGGTACTTATTAATCTACATGCATTTGCATGCTTTCGAACTGCTAGATGGGCAAAAATTGAGGCAAGCAACAGGACCTCACCCCATCGTGCAGCTGGGTCTTGAATCCAGTCTGTTACCTTTCTAGCTGATAAGCGCAGCATCTTTAACCACTGAGCCATTGCACCCCCTAAGAATTCATGAAAGTGTACATTTCTTTCTGTAGTCAGTGGCCTACAGTATAGGCTACTGTACTGTATTCTGTAGTCAGTATAAGGAAAGCACGCATGTACAGTCTGGAAAGATATATGCACAGCACCTTTCAAAAAAGCAATGGTTTTAATATACTTTGGGAGATGGCACTGTCAGAGGACTTTGCCTGTAGTACTCCCTCTTCATCTTTGTTTGGGAAATATAGTAACAAATATGACATTCCTTGCAGTAAACTGGGCACCTATGAGGGAGATGAGCAGTTAAGAAGTGTGATATATATTCTTCCTTAAAGAATAATCTTATCTGAAACAAATTTAACTTAAAAATAAGTGAGCAGCACTAAATGATTCATTTTAGATTTAATACTTACACTGAGTTTGGGCCATGGAAATGGTGGCTCCCGTGTAACGAACAAAGTTATCTCCTGCATAACTGACTCTGTAAACAAAAATAGTTTATTCTGTAAATATTTAGTTTGTGATTATATTTTGAACAAACAGAAGCAAAGCAAATACTAGGCCATTCTGATTAAAAAGTATAAATTTAATAAGACCTATTCTTTGTTCATTAATGTGATTCTGGGATTCATTATTGCTTCCCCTATTGCATTTTGATTACAGCAGCCAATCTTTTCAGTCTTAAAATGTCATTTTAAATTACTTTGTTAGTAATTTAGATCAATGTGTTGACAGAGTAATTTGTAATTTATCTGTCATCAAAATGTATTATGAGAAACAAGCTCCAAATAAAATCTGAGTAAGAAAAAAAGATAATTCTTCTGCAGCAAAAAGTCCATTTCAACTACATATAAGAGATTAAAAATACTTTTTTCCTATATGGCATGGTTATTCACTGTGACTTAAAAGCTTTCTGAAGATAATTACAGTAATCTGAGGCACTTGTTTTACAGCAGATGTTATATTGTAGGCAACTAATATTCATCTGTGTTCACTACCAACTCTCCTAGGTTTTCCAAGATCTATGAGCATTCCAGACAACCTGCTTTGAAGAAAGAGCACTATGAGACACTTCTCTATATTTTTAAAAAAACTTTTTTCAAACTGAAGATCAACCAGGAGAGACCTTCCCATTTATCAATTCTAGGGCAGTATACAAGACCTTGTATTTGCTGAAGCAATTTGAAGTTAACTTACTCATCTGGATTCTTTCCTGCATTGGCATAAGGATTCTCCCTCATTGCTCTGGTTTTAGGATCATAATAGGCAGAATTGGGGTCTAGATTTCGTAGGTACTAAAAGAAAGAACACAAAAATATCAACTTGAAATTCTAATACAGCTAATAACACTATCACTTTAATATAGCTATTCTGAGATTATCATGTAGAGGTACCCATGAAATCAGATAATCAATATTGTGAATTCAGCCCACCCAAAGTTAGGATGCATTACAGCTATCACCCATCACTATATCCGTTACCAGTTCTCTTTCATCCTTTTTAGGAAGGAATGCCATTCTGCAGAAAGGGAAGATAGCTGTAATTCTGTATCTTGGACTATTTTGATCATTTTACACAGTACTGAACTATTTACACTATTATGTTGCATATGCTGAATTCACATAGTATCCTAAGCCATAGAGTGGCATACTTAGTTACGACCTGATGATACTACTGATGTGATAGGAAGATAAACAGAAGGTAAGCCTTTTAGAATAATATGGAGAATGTTAGCTTCAAAATGACAGTTCTTGATGTTGTCCAGCTTACTTTAGCGATATCTTCTCGAATACGCAAGTTTCGGACTGTAATGCGTCTTTTGGAGTCAAAATTCTGTCCAGGCATATCAATGTCATCTGCATATTTGTCTTCGTCTTCATCTTCACTGTTATGATCTCTTTCCTAAAAAGAGACAGTGTGGCATTAAGTAACTGGTGTGATTTATTTGCATCAGTAACAAAATACATATACTGAATTTTAGATGAAATGTTTAAAAAAATAGTACTATCAATACAATTTTATTAGTGATTGATTGAATTAGTTGGCTAAGTACTTTGTAAATAAAAAACATATAATGCTTGAGGTTGTTAGGTATTTAAATTCTGCTTTGAGCCAAAGTTTCATTATATCACTTGCCTGAAAAACTGCAGCTGCAATGAGAGATGAATCTACAGTATATATCTCCATATAAGAAGGCAAAAGGATAAAGGCTACTTAAAAATCAAGGAATGCTACAGAGAACTTAAAATTCTTTATGTGAAAGACTTACTTACAATAAAAGTGTACATTTTGTTACTTTTTTTTTTTTTTTAAAAAAAAAAACCCGTTCTCACCGTTTGTGAATTTGGTTCCTCTTCTCCCCATCGATGTCGTGGAGAATTCTGGAGCAAACAAACAAAAAAACCTCTCAGAACCAGCACAATCACAGAACTATATAGTGAAGTTATCAGAAGAAATGATAAATTGTTTGAGAAAAGGCAAAGCTGTATTCTGAAAAGAAAGGCCTCCACTGAAACTCTCAAGCTAGACCAAGGTGGATTATTAGCTTCAAGCCATTTTATTTATCTAAGACTCTCTCCTCAAAATAGCTTGGCAGATCATTCTTTCATGCTTTCTTACGTCACAAAATAAATAACTAGAATATTTCTTAAATACCATACTCACTCTTAAAATCAAGAATGAAAACATACTTTTAAAAAATACTTTTTAAAAAACATACTTTTAAAATAATATAGAATACTGTCAGTTACATAAATTGGCATGTAGTTTAGATTTTAAAAGTAGTTGTTAAAAGGAGATAAGGGATAAATTGGTCGTAGTGCTTAAGATGGCATCCTTGTATTGGTTATGTAAAGACCAAGTATACATCAGGACTTAACTATTACCAAAAAGAACACATACTCATATAGAGAGAAGAGAGTTCATTCTGTATGCAATTTTAATTTCTGACATTTCCAGTTCAAAAGATCAGGTAGCCAATGATGCAAAACGCTCCTGCCTAGATTTGGGGAGCTGCTGCAAACCAGAATAAGAAATGTTTAGCTAGCTGAATAAATAAATAGGTTCCCAAGCAAAGGAAAACAAATCCTAAATAATGAAAATATCTTTTCATCCTGAAATAGCTCTGGTTCCTCCAATTCAGAAGAATTATATAAAGTTTACATTGCCATCTAGTGAAGCAATTAAGAATTTACTGCACAATGAAAGAAGTCCAGACATTCCTTTAACTTAGTTAACGGAAAAAACTTGACCTTACATAGATTTTAGCCATATTCAGGGCTTTGGGGTCAACCACATCCAATACTAGCTAGAAAAAAATATTAAAAAAACAGGAAAACAGTGTTTTACCCTTCTGATTTAGACGTTTTTTCCCTGACTTACCACTTGCTCTGTTAGTTTTCCTGAAGCCAGTTCTTCCTGCAGTTTCTGAGCTTTGAGTGTGCGTTTAGCCTATACATTAAAGAAAAAAACAGGGTATTTCTTTTAAAAGATTTCCTAACTACTCCGTACTTACGATGAAATAATGTTCTTCTTAATTTTGATGAGCAAGGCATTATGATTTAGAATCAATAATACAGAAGTATAAGCAATTTACAGACAGAAAATTTACCTCAGTATAAGTCAATTGTTACTAGTTTGCTTAACTCTGTCTGAAATTGGTTTCTCCATTTCTTCAATGACTTTCTCAAAACTTGAGAATGTTTAGCCTCTTTGGTGCCTTAATTCAGAGGCAGCCAATGGAAAAATATCAATGGAATCAAAAGTAAAGGCAACCAAAGATTGAGCAGGGTGTGTAGGAGGATGCACCTTCCTCTTGCTTCCTTTTAGTGTACATGCAAACATTAATAGGTACAGTATATTCCCAGGTCTCCAGGCATGGAAGAGGAAATTATCTGAACACTTGGAAAATTAAAATAAATGAATCAATAATAGCTCTGACATTATTTTATAAACATGTCTACATATTTATATTAGCACAAAAGTCAATTCTGGATGTTATTTATTTTTATAACAACATGACACAATCACACAAAGATATTGTTGATGTTATATCCAGAGAGAGAAAAAATTCCACTTACTAGATCAACCTTGGCATATTCTTCTACAATCTTCATATGCTCTTCTGGGTTATAACCATTCCAACGGTCTCTTTTCCCATCATAATCAAACATCAATTGAGGCTGCATGTGCTCATCTGGTGCAATGTTCGTTCCTGTAAATTTTGCTCCAACTTTTCTAGGTCTCTGAAGGGAACAATATGCAATGCAATCTTTGCTTCTCGGAAAGAAAACGGCCTATAATTATTCCTGTTTCTTAGCAGATATTAGGGAAACAGCCCCTCCATCACCACATAGTTTCTTCTACTTTTTTCTTCCTGCAGACTCTTTCCTGGTGGCATTAAGTTTTTTCCCCAGGTGTAATGCAGCTACTGTATTCATCTGATTGAACTACAGCCCCATTGTTAACACTGAAACCAAGGACCATATGGGACAAATGAAAATATCTCCTTACAAAAAAGTAACTGCTTTGATTTCTTTTAAATGAAAAACACTACTAAAATGTTGTAAATAAAGAAATAAACAGGAACTTCATTATTTGGAATAATAAACTCAAATGCTATTGGTCCATCTATTGGGGCCTGGACCCCTATATCCCATAGTAACCTCACTGCAATAACTGCATAAGAATATGCCTTATTCTCTGTCATGTGGTGGAAGCCATCCCAGTTCTTTGTGACTGAAAAATATGGGAAAGCCAGTTTAACAATTGCAAATAGCCCCGATTTAGCTATATTTAACAACATACTTCATTATCTTGCTACTTTACCAAATTCAGTTGCCTTTTTCAAAACTGGTTCCTGTTTGTCATCTGATTAACCTCTTCCTAATATAGGCAGTCCTTGCTTAATGATGATTTGTTCAGTGACCATTCAAAATTATAGCAGCATTGAACAAATGGGATTTATGCCTAGTCCATAAAGTTATACCTCTTGCGCCTCCACAGTCACAAGATCAAAATTTAAACATTTGGCAGTCTACTTACAACCACAAGGACACCGTAGTTTCACCCACCTGCCTATCTCTCTAACATCTCTGTTCCTTCTGCTACTCTGTGCAGCAGCATTCCTCAGCAGCAGTGCTGGGGCTGAAGTAGAGGCCTGGAGCCTTTAGAAGTCTCAGCTGACTGCTGCAGGCCTGGTGCTGCTTCTTCTGCAAAGCTCCTGCCACTTCCAGCTGGCCTTCCCCACCTTTTTCCTTCCACTACTGAGGCAAGCCTCAGCTGCCTCTGCCCGTGTGGAGAACATACATACAATGAAGAGTTAAGAGGTAAAAAGGTGATGCAGAAGGAGGGGGAATGCCTTGTTTGCTGAGAGTTACAGCAGCTCGTTTCAAAATGCATGGGCTGAGGATGGAAAAAGATGTCACTGTAATTCTCCCATGTGGTCCAGTAAGAGAGGCTTGCTCTCTTTTTCCCTCCCTACCTGAGCTCTGTAGATCTTCACAAGGTAAGCAAACATTGTGAGGGCTGGAGGAGGACCCTGTGGAATTCCCCAGTGTTTTTGGGGACCTAGCAGGATGTGGCAGGGAAATAGATAGGAAGGCATGCTGCATCTCTGTGGTTGGTCGGAAAGGCAAGTGACTGGATGAGTTCTGTAGAATTTGTAACTTTGAAACAAGAGGGTCTGTTGTAACTCTGAACAGTCATTAAATGAACTGTCGTACCTTGAGGATTACCTGTATATACAATTAAATGTTCTCTAAAAACCCAACATCAAATCGATCTCGCATCTAAAAACGTACTGTCATTTTGAAAAAAAGTGAAAGACAGCAAAACAAGAAGAAAGTTATTATGGAGTATGGAACTTCTGTTCTTATGTTCCATGAAATTGCCTCTTCCAATTTCAATTCTATTAGATACTAATTTCTAAAATACATAACAGACTATAAAATTTTACCCGACAGATAAGAGTCATGTTGCTTTAAGGAATATTATTTACCTCTAGGCAATCTTTCTTCTTATGGGTCAATGCACCACAGTTCTCACAAGCACCTTTACGGTATTTGGTTGAAACAGCATTCTAAAGACAAAACAAATAAGCTATTTGCAGCAATAGAGTATTTAGTTTGTCCTCTCCTATACGAGAATATAGAATATGGTAGGTCCACTCTAACTTTACAAAGAAATTACCTAGCTATATAAATTACTCTAAAATGGTAATTGCAGGGAATTTTAGCCAGACACAACTAATGAACTATGCCCCTTCACATTTGAATCTAAGAAAATGTAACATACCACCACTGAATTTGACCATTCAAATGCCAGTCATAATAAAAAAAGCCCAACAAATTGGCTAGCGCTTATTAATAGTCTTGCACAACAGCATCACTTTTACATATAACTACTTACCTCTTTAACTCCTCGCTTATACCATTCTCCTAGTGATGTAAATTCTTCTTGTTTCTCTTCCTGAGGTCTCTGATGTTTCAGTGTAGGCCTTTTTGAAGGATCTATATACCATGGCACTGAGGAAATGTACTGGGGAATATGAGGATTGATGTCTCTGTAATAAGTAGTGTTATAATTAGATGAAAGGTTAGGCTCCAGTCATTAAGTAGGAATCACTAAACGCGGCACTTATTTTCCAATAAGGAACCATTTCCATCATACCATACTTTTAAGATCTCAACTGGAACTTTATCTGTAATATGGGGAATGGAGGAACGTTTTCACAGTGAGATACCCATGTGGCTTAACAATATACCTCATACATAATAAAATATCTTCACCTACATTTTCACAAGCTTTCTGTACATGGATTCAGTCTCTGATTGGTATTTCTGCCAAAGAAGCATTCTGGCCAAGATTAAGATCCTCTGTCAGCACCAAAATGTTGTCTTATTAGTAGGTTAGGACTAAGACTCCTCCTGTGGGGTCTTAGTCCTAACCTAATAGAATCAAAAGTATCTACAATACACTTTTGAGTTCCAAGATTTTTAAAATTCTGAGCTAGAGAATGTATTGCAGTATCTTTTGATTCTAGCCATATTAGATTTGACATTCCAAAATTTAAATACTCCCAATTGCCTACTCTAGGCTAGGCTATAAACAGTTAGGAAAAGGCGGCATAGATCAAAGATAGAAAGAAATCAATTAACTTTGTTCACTTCATTACTTAGATCAATATCTATTAATATAAAAAGAATAAACAAATTCTTTCAGAAGCAGCCTCACACTTAGTTTTGTCATAACATGCTAAAAAAGCTACAGAAAGTTGTATTGAGATTGCAAACAATACTTACTTTCCTTCTTCATCCACTTCAGCTGGTGCATTTCCCAGTTTTCGTTGTTCTTCCAATTCCTTCTTCTTTCTCCAATCTTCTCTCGTCATCTTCTTGGGTTCTTCCAAGCCATTTGATCCTCCAGGAGGATTAGCAGCTATAGTTTCCATGCTCCCAGATTCTGTTCTTCGGCCTATTAATAAACACATGTTTATATTTGTTAATAGGTTTTCAAACTATTTTAATAAATGCTAAAAAAGTCCTCACCATTTTTGATTAATTAATCTAGCTGGAAAAGCAAATTCCCTCCCAAGGGTACCAAGATATGGATGGATGATATGGAAGACCAATTTTTTTTCCTTTGAGAGAAATCCCTGGATTAAGAACCAGCCTAAACCGAGCTTTCATGCTATTTTTAGTTGTGAGAGCTAGTGCATCACTCAAATACTTCTGAAGTGTTTTCTTATTATAACTTTATACCAATTGTATGAGTTCAGGCAAGACTTTTAGTTTATGATTTATGACACTTTATTGCCATTTTTATTATTTAAAAATATCTTGCATGTTTCTTTGTAATTCAGCTCCCTTTTGTAGATATTACAAACTTCTTTTTACAAGCATACATATAATAGGAATATGGGAATATGAGCTAATTTAGTGATATGGAGTTTGGCATCATTAGTACAGGCATTCTCAACTTATGACAGATCACGAAAATGGAACTTACAGCCCAGATTCAAAGTTCTGATGTCTGTAACCCCCATGTACAGTCACATGACCACACTTTGGGCATTAGCAACCAGTTTGCATTTATGGCTGTTTGCAGCACCCTGCAATCACGTGACTTACAACAGTTCTGCCAGAAACTGGTGTTTATTCATTTCTGGCAAAACCCATACTATAGCAATCAATGGGTTACTTAATGACCATGGTGTTTGTTTTACAATTGCTGCAAAACAGGCATAAAATTGGTTATGGGCATGTTGTGACCTGCTTTATGGTCATCACAACTTACATTCAAAATTGTCGGTTCAATTGCAAGTCAAGGACTATCTCTACGCTGATTATACCCAATCATATATCTCTACCTATGCAGAGCAGGTGATACCGTTCAGGAGTTTGGTCAGCACTGGGAGGCTCTATGGACTGGGCAAGGTTGGGGAGAAATTGGCTGTGAGTAATTCTACCAAGACAAAATGGTTGTGGACCATTATCCCTCTGTTGTTTGGACAGGTTAACCCAGGGTTAGGCAACCAAAAACACTCAAAGAGCCACTTGAACCCGTTTCTCACCAAAAAGAAAACACCGGGAGCCGCAAAACCCTTTTGATATCTAAAATGAAGATAACACTGCATATATCCTTTTTTATCTTTATTATAGGTATGTGTGTGTGTGTGTGTGTGAGAGAGAGAGAGAGAGAGTTTGTGTGTGTGTGTGTGTGTATACACACACACACACACACACACACACACACACACACACATTAAAAATAAAAGTAAAAATATGACTCTTGGGAATATCCATACTATTAAAACAATGATCACCGAGAGACTGCTTTAAGAGAATAAAATTACATACACACATAGGTTAAAAAAAGGATATATGCAGTGTTATCTTCATTTTAGATGTCAAAAGTGTCTCTCTCTCTCTGTCTCTCTCCCTCCCTCCCTCTCTGCCCTTTGTCTGCCACTCCTCTTCCCCCACTCTTTCTTTCTCTCTCTTTCCTCTCTCTCTCCCCTCCCTCTCTCTCTCTCTCTTTCCCCCCCCCATCTGCTGCTCACCTGGCAAGCTTCAAGTTGTTCTCCAACAATCTCAGGGGTAGGCAACCTCGTCTCTTTTATGACTCATAGACTTCAACTCCCAGAATTCCTGAGTCAGCCTAGCTGGGCTAGCTAGCTCTCTCCTGCCCTTCCTGCTTCCTGCAGAGACACAGCAAAGGGAGGAGCTCCGCCCAGTAAGCTTTTCAGCTCCTCGGAGAACAATGTGAGTGCACTCTTTTACACATACACACACACACACACACATACAAAACACACACACACAGAGAGAGAGAGAGAGAGAGAGAGAGAGAAGCAGGGAAGCGCAATTGCCTCTCTCTGTCTCTGTCTCTCTCTGCAAAGGCAGAGGAGGCTGGGAGCCACAGGGGAAAGCTCAAAGAGCCGCATGCGGCTCCGGAGCCGCAGGTTGCCGACCTGTGGGTTAACCCCTGCCCCAGACAGAATTATCGTGCAATTTGGGGATCCTTCACTGTAAGTGGTTCAGAATGGGTGTCCTGTGCTTCCAAGTTATAGTGCGACTGTTGCAGTGTGAACTGTACTGGCTTCCAGTTGCCATAGGTGCTGCTTATCACCTTTAAAGAAATACATGGTACAGGGCAGTTACTTATGGGACTGCCTCTCTCTCTCTGAGGGTATCTGCCATCCCATTATCTGACCTGGGTTAGTTCCAGTTCCCTTCTCTTAAAGGCTGTCATATGTTGGGGCTTTGGAGATGCGCCTTCTCTATAGCTGGTCAGACCTTCAGAAGGCTTTTAGCCTTCTGGAAGATTATGAAGACCTGGCTCTTACCCCAAATACCGGGCTTGGATGAGGGTTGAGTCAAGAAGTTAATAGTGTGGTTGATCTGGCATCTGATGGGAAGGGTTTTCTATTGTTATTCTGGTTTTTATTGGTTGTTGTGAACAGTCTAGGATCTGTATGCGAGACAAATAGACATATAAAGTCTAAAATATATTCGCACATACGGTGTAAAATATAATCGAAAGCATTCCCAGCCACCTTCCCGAAACTCCAATTAGATGGGGCAGACGCCCCCTTAGGCGGCTCAAAAATGTTTTGGGTTCTAACACCCATCAGCCCCAGTTGACCTTCCCAACAACATCAGGAGTATGAAACCTATATAACCCAAGCTCCTGGCCAGCCTGAGTTCCCTTGAGCTTTATACAGCAGCGGGCAGGAGAAGAGGCAATAACTGGAAGTGGCTCCTCTGCTTTACGAAACAGTTCTGAACTGCCCAGGTCTCGTTAACGAAGAGATCCAGAATTTAACTGCCTGCCAAACTTAACCTGGGTTAAGTTCCTCGTGTAAATACACAGGTTTCGCCCGGGAAAAGCAAACAAGCCCCGATAAGTCTCTCCGACCCAAACAAGAGCACTCGCCGCTTACCCAAGTCACAGATCACCCTTCCTGCGCCACGGGGCCTACGACGCTCATTGGAGCCCCACTTCCGGTGTTTTTCCGCTTCCCACAAGGCAGAGCGGCGGCCTTCTCGTCACTCCTTAAAGGGGCCGCATCCTATTTTAAAAACGCTCCGCTTTCTCCAACGACGTTCCATTCCCGGACTTTAGCTTTCAGTAACCCTCTTTTGCGGACGTAAGTTTAAAGCTCTTCGGAGACGGTCTTTCAAATGTCGATGGAGTTTATTCCCAAATGAATGTGTACATTTATAAAGCCATGAGGATCTGAAACTCAAGACTTGGTGTAAATGCATTTTCTTTAATACAAGCCGCTACTAGAATCTGACGTTGCTGCGATAGGATCTGTTATTTATTACGGCAGAAGTTTCCATCGATCTTTGCCTTGTTTTTTTTAAAAAAAAAAAATCTGAGAAAGTGAAACGTGTAATTTACAAAAGTTTTTATTTCTTCATGGAGAAACCCTAGTTATGTAGTCGCTAGACAAGATGACTTGATGGCACCTAATCATAACGTATCATTAATGTAATCAATCATTACATATGACTACAGGGGCAGCATACAGTTATTTTGGCAACGATTTTAAAGTGGGTTGTATTGCCTTCCTCCGGGACTTTCTCGACCAGTGTAGCCGACAGTCGTGGTATCCCTGGGGTGGCAGTCTCCCATCCAAGTCTTAGCCACGACCAACCCTGCTTGCCTTCCCAACCCAGGTAAAATAAATCAGACGCTACTAGCTAAACTTACTTGGTCGTAATTCCCCGAGAGTTTCATGGGACTTTGGTCTGATTTAGACGTCCACAGCATCATAGTAAAACACCACGATTCCATGCTGATTGTTGCGATAGACTAAAACAGCCATCCCTCTGAAATATATATATTTTAATTAGATTATCCTGGAGCTCGAAGTTCCCTTTTTTCCCCACCACAATTTGAACATTATGGGATCAAGTCGGTATCGCTTTCGTATTTCACAAGTCGACACCACGCGTTCTTGGCTTAAATATCCCGCCTTGCCTGCAAATGAGATTGAAGGCAAAGAAGTGTAACCTCTACCTCTCCCCCACCAACATTAGTTTAGAAAGGGAGCCAATCAGGAGTTTTAACATCGCAACACAAGGAGCAACAGCCAATCAGGAACGAAGTTAATGATTTAAAACAATCCGGTAGAGAAAGACCAGTTGTATATTTTACACAAAGTGTTTGGCGAGGTAATGAATCAATAAAGGGGGGGGGGGATAGATTTAGAACATCTTTTCCATGACAGCTAGTTTAATTTTCGTTTCTATTTGTTCCTACTGTATTACGCTTTAAAGGCTAGCTCTGTTGCAATATTATAATTGCAAGCAGTAACTTAGGGAGAAGCGGGATGGTCGGTATTTCAATTCTTCTATTTTGTCATAGTTGCTTAAACTAGATTTTTTTAAAAGTCGTATATACTTTCTGTGGACTTGCACTGCTTAGGTGCAGTGCACCTAAGTGCAGTGTACTGCAGTGCTATTTTTATGCTTGATAGCCTTCTAAAATTAATTTTGGAAGAAGCCCTATTAATGAATATAGAAATGCTGGCGCTATTAGTATTACATTGAAATAATTGAAAAATAAAGGCTTCAGTTCTGTTTACAAGTAGCAGAGAGCAAGATATGCTGACTTCTATAGTGCGTGCACATCACCAATTCATATGGAATAATATTTTTGTTTATAGAACTAACAAAAATGCTGGTTTAGAACTTCATGAGGCACGGTATTCCAAAATAGGGGAAAATTATTTTTTATTAAAAGACTAATTGTTTAAACTACAAAGTGTTTAATTCAAAGTAAATCCGTGAATACTAGATGTTGGGAAGATTATGAATTGAGACAATTTGGAGATCAGATGAATGGCTATACTACACTGCATTTAGTCTGACCTATGTATTTTGAATCTTACTTTCTTAACTGTAACTCCTAATTTGATGTAAATAAATCTCGTTTTATTGAGCTTGACACCTACTTTATCAAAATGTTTATAGAACCAAAATGAAAGTAGATTGTAACTGCCCACTAGTGGGATCTCAGTCTATCTAACCATACTGATAGTTCTTAACTTAGTGTAAACTAGGTCTGATTTTTCTTAGTTTTGAGCCCAAAGTAGCTAAGGCCATTTGCTGAGGCATAATTATCCACAGATGATATTCTTAGTGACCAAATTATTGTTTAGCCTGTTCAAATTAAGACAATACAATTTATTTACTTGTTTACACTGTCAAATCAAGGAATTATATATATTGCATGTAATAAATGGCAGACTATGTTTTCCAAATTGGGAAGAAGCAATTATAAAGTCACATTTTCAAATTGTTTAAGTGAAAAACATTTCTTGTAAGAAGAAGAGATGAATTTTGTATGGAATTTGTAGTCTTCCCACCTGAATCAACTTAAGACAGTCTGAACTAGGATAACTGTCGTGGTTCTGAAAGATTCTGAGCTTAGAAGCTGCTATCCTAGCTATGTAATATTCTAAGAGAAAAGTATATTTGCAGTCTTGTATTGATGTGAGAGGTTTAGAGAATAAACTTAGATGTGCTATAATTTTGTGGGTATCTGTTTTAGGGATCATTTGATGCCATAGGAATGGCAACACATATCTTCATAGACAAAGAGAATGGAGAAACTAGCACGGCTACTGCTCCTAAGGACCGACTAAAACAGCTATTGGCACCTTGTGAGTTTGCATTTATATAATACAACTAATATAAATGAGCAAAAAAAAAATCTTTCTCTAAAAAGATTTAGCATATTAAATGTTTTGGATGCTGTCTAATCAGAATGCTTTGTTATTTTAAGAGGATGGAAGATGAAGAGCTACCTAAATTTGATATCAGTTGTGGCTGTTGTGTAATGGACAGCAGTGAGAAAAAGCCAGCTTGAGATTTTAGGTGTAACTTGGTGACTTGTGAAAAATTAAAAGCGGCTATCTTTTTGCTTTGTAGTCACTGTTTGGACTCTGCCTTGTATGGAAGGAGCTGAACTAAACTGCAGGATATTGTCTTAGTTCACCAGACAAGCAACTTTTATTGAAATTATCTAAAGGTCATAAAGGGCAATGTGGTTGTACTAATTCCTCCCTAGCCCTATTCTGACTTGTCTGATTTTAGTGCATTTGGGGATGCTAAACCTATATTAGAGAAAACCTACTTTAATAAAAAAAAATGTTGGAATATAGGATCTAAATTGCATTGTGTAACAGGAACTTCCCTCTCTACAGCAAAGGTTTTTGTTGAAAGGTCTCATCCTAAAACCCCTCTTGTTGGAAGGACAGCTAATGTGAATCTAAAAGAATCTCAATCAGTCAGGAAGGCTCTAGGAAGTCTGAACAGACCTCTAGCAACAACAAAGAATCAGTTCCCTAAAGGAAAAAAGCTCTTGTCAAAAAAGGTTAGTAAAGCTAATTTTCTGTTGGATGCTATTGAGATGCTCAGACAGAAGAAACTAAGAGTATTCTTGTCAAACAACTTAGAGTAATTTTAAACCAAAGAATGAATAGAAAGCTTGAATCACAATTTATAGAAGTTGAACATAAAGCTTTACAGGTGTCTCCCAATCTGCCATGTATCACATTTAAACAGCTACAAAGAAAAGAAATAACATCTTAGAAGCTGATGGACGGCCAGAAAAGCAATACAATTGCACTTCTATGCCATTTCATTGCAAGGAAAATGAAATTGATATCTATAAGATTAATTTGGGGTGGGGGGTGGGAAAGTGGAGGGAAAGACAAAACAAATAGACCAGAACAAGGGTGATATTTGAGACTAAACAGAGGGGAAGGGCTTTGGTAACCTGGATTGTGTGAAGGGAAGCACAAACCATGAGCTGGTCAGAGAAGTTGCTTGCCCTACAATTCAAGAAGATGAATTAAGCCTAACAAAAGTTATAGTATGCATATACATGGAGAAGGAAAACAGGTCCCTGTGTAGGTAGTTTCCAAACTAACTATAATTTAGAGTCCCAACAAATCAGGATGGTATTATGGGACTTCCAAGGAAATGACAATAAAGGTTATCTTATATTCTAAGTAATAAAGATTACTGCAATGTTCAGATTACTTTACCATTGCTGGTGCATTCTTCTAATGCTGAAAGAACTAATTTTTCTCTGAACAGCAAGGTTTTGTTTTGATGCAAAGTCTTCAGATCAGGCTAGATGCCTGATGACTATTTAGGAACATCCATATAGTTTTATTCTTAACAAAATAGAAATAGTTTGCTATTTTGTTATTGATGTTTTGTTTTGTATCCATGTTCTAACCAGCTCTTCCCCTCTTAACTTTTTGATATTAACCAAAGTTTTCTAGGTGTCTTGTTTTATACATCTTAAGTCCAGGAACTGAGGGCCAGAATGCTTTCTTTTTCATATGATTATCACTTGGGGATTAACTGTTACCAACAAACATGTCCCGCACCGGATCTCTTAAAATATTATTAAATTTATATTCACTCTTCCTCCTTCCCTTGGTTTATCAGAATATATAAACAAATGATTGTCAGATTTTATATTTAATGAAAGCATATAAATTACTGCTAACAATATTAAATATAATTTCTATTATTTCACATTGATAAACAGTGATATAAGACTTGAAATAGGTAGTTCATGCCCATAGAGGCAATACAAGGGAATTCTTGATAAGGACAGTAATTCTGTATACCTTCTATATTCTACTGAAGCCTTTGATCACAGGAGGTGAAGTACATGAAGAAACACTTGAGCCTCGAATTTAATCTCTGTCAACTTCATGTAGAGCAGACATGTCAAACTCGTGATGTCACGTGACATCGCGCCACGTATCGGAGCTTTTTCGCCATTGCCGGCAATGGGGTGAGCGCAGCTCCGGTATGATGAAACCGGCCCATGGGCCGGCAGATTGACACCCCTGATATAGAGGAATAAAACTTTTACCTAAAAAATTGGAGCTTCTGCTTATGGGTCTTGACTATAATGGGGCACTGTGGGCTAATAACCTAGGCTAGTAACACTGGAATAAAACAGCCTCTTATATACCCCAGGTATTCATGTGCTACAATCTCTAATCTTTGTCTTGAGAGGGTGTTGTAATTACTATTTATTATTATTCTTACTTAGGCAAATGAAAATACAAGCAGAACTGAAGACAACAACATGGTTCCTGAAGAATATCCAGAGAAGGAGAATCTTTTTTCTTATAATCCACTAGGTAATGCTCAAAAGGGAAAGAGCTTGAGCTTTTTTGGCAACAGAGGACTCATTATTGAATAATCAGGTTTCACAAATCAGTATCTGGACAATTAGATGTGATATCACTGGTACGTCATCCTGTATATAGTGCAGTAGGCTTCCATTCTTGATCAAGGTTAATCAAGATCATGAAAAGTTATAAGTTATATTGACTAAATTTAAGCATAGTTTTAACCAGGTTTATCTCTGACCCATGCTTAAGATCAAATGGGAAGTTGCATTTCATTGTATTCTGTTCTACTGTTTTCCATTCATAGATTTTGAGAGTTTTGATGTTCCTGAAGAGCACCGGCTGAGCCATATGTCTTTGACTGGAGTTCCTCTTATGACATTTGACAGTGCGCCTGATAGATTTGCAAGCAGCATCCCTCTGCCTGCAAAACAACCTTTAATTTCATGGGACTATGGTAAATAGTTAGACTGTATTCAGAAAATCTAGCAGCTGTGATGTTTTTTTCTTTAACTGCCTTGTTCAATCTGGGGTTTTCAAGATGTACTGAAAGTATAATTTCTAGATTTACTAGCTAATTTTTGTCATGTGGGCTACTAGTTTTGCAAACTGATACTTGGGAGGCACCAGGTTAGGAAGGGCTAGAACTGAAAAAAGGTAACCACGGTTTAGAAATTATCCAATAACGGCTACTTTAAGAATGATTAAGTAGACACACTTTTTAGTCACTTAGAGCTAAATCAGAGAATATAACTGACTAGAGATATTATAATCTTTTATTTTTTTATATTTTTTTAGATTATCTGCAGTCAACTAAAGATTTTCTGGCTACTCTGGATGAAATAGTAATTGATCTTCCCCCTCCCTTGTAAGAAGTAAACAAGCTGTATTTTAAAGTTGTATTATGAATAATGTTGTAACTCATTTCAATGACATAATAAAGAACTTGTAATTGTAACTCTTGTCTTGTTTGAACTGCTGATAGATTTGGGGAAAAGAATTTCATATAATGAAATTATTTATTTACCATTTTTACCCCAAAGAAAGGTAATTCTGATTTTAAGATGAACTCCACAAAGGAGAATATAAAAAGCGAACACACCAAAGAAAACTGTTTTTCAGCAGCAGTTTGCAGCCACTTGTCCATTTCCCCTTCTATTTCAAAATCATCTACCTTCAGCAAACATAAGAGAAATTCTTCTATCATATTTACAGGTAATAATTTGTGAACAAATCATTTTTCTATAAGATAAGAATAATATGTATGTGCTTTCTATCTTGCCTGCTGGTCTGATAAAATGTGCAAATGTATGCCCTTGAACGTATTTAATATTGCAGACATGGTTAGCTGGAAAAACACGTGCCAAGTTTTGTGTCAACTCAAACTTCTAGATTGGATTTGTATAACATACTAGGTTAAAAAGTGATTGACTAGTTTGTTTTTGAGGGTTGTATGCAAATTTGGCCCCTGTTTATGTTATAAATGTTTAGTGTGAGCCTAGACAGCCGAATTCATACAATGAAGCAGGAGTTAGCATGTTGTATGAACACAGTGCAAATTTAATTGACATAATTCTGAACTTCACTAATTTAAACATCCGGGCAATGAAACTAGGTTTAATTATCATGAGTTGAACTCAACACCACAACGTTCCTTTTATTGCCATTCCTTTTATTGCCTTTGCTATTCTGGCAAAGAGGTTGCATTACACAATTGAAATTCTAACTTCAACATCCCAAATCTAACAATCCTGTTCTGGGATATAGAAATGGCTTGTATAGTTGAGAATGATTACATTACAATAATCCCTATTCTAAATGACAGGCCACCAACTGACATTCCTGCTGACCAATCTATGTGCCAGACAGACATAGGTATAAAATGATATTTTTTTTGTGAGGCAGAGATACTACTGTAATCTGATTCATTTAACAACTGCAGTTAACAACTCTGGCAAAAAGGTTAATTAAACTCGGAATCCTGATTTAACAACAACCTTGCTTAGCAATGAAAATTCTGGTTCCAATTGTGGTTGTCAGTCATGGACTATCTGTGTAAGCAATCTGTAGCTACATTGGCTGATTTTGTCCATTTTCCCCCTTTTACTGAAATTGTTTGCTATTATGCTTTCAGTATCTACTTTTTTTTAGGAATTTGCCTTCACTGTGAATTCCTTTTTTACAACTGCTGCTTCTATCACTATTGCTGTGATATTTTTATAATTTTTCTTGAATCTGAAGAAGTTATTGGGCTACCTTTGATTTCAGTTTCTTTAACAATCAAGGACTACAGCAGGGGTCCCCAACATGTGGTCTGCGGCCTACTACCAGGCTGCAGCCTATTGGCCACCAGGTCACGTAAGTGGCTGGTCAGTGTGTGTGTATATGTGTGTGTGCATTCAACCCCACTCATGCAAGTGTCCACGGGCGTTCATGGGCCCACTTGAGTGAGCATTGTTGTAAGCATTCGCGGCCCCACTCTCACGAGTGTTGTTTGTGGCCCCACTCGTGCGAATGTCATCATGAGCATCATGGGCGCTCGTGGCTCCACTTACACAAGCAATGGGTTTTCGTGGGCATGCATGTGTGCACACGCATTTACCCCTCCCACAAAACCATATCTTTTTCCCCTCCCCCCGCTCCGGGCCACCAACACCGAAAGGTTGGGGAACTCAACTACAGGACTAGATGATCACTTCTCCCAAGGTTATTTTCCCTTTTCATGTAGGCTTTTGTTATTGGTTAATACGAAGCACAGCTTCTGCCATCCTGAAGGGGCAAATTTTGAAACAACACAAGCCAAGCATTTTCAGGAAGGGCCGTTTGATAGAGTTTGTCGATCTTAACTTGGTAATTAAGGTAATTAAAGTCTTCCATCACAGCTACTCAATGCTTCTTTGAAAAAAATCTACAGCTTAGTTTTAAATCATCCAAATAAAAAAAAGCTCACCAGTATCTTATCCTTGATTGGGCAGGCTTTACTTTTATTAACTTTAAGCTAGATGCCCTCTGAGGTATTGCCAAGTTTATTCATTTGGATTTCTGAGCCAGTGTAGATATTTTAAATGCAGAGTGCAAATCTTCATTTTGCCTTTTTGTCACAGTTCATCTTTGATTGTTACATTCCAATAACCTGAATCATCTTGCCAATATCTGCTTCGCTTCTTAAATTATATTTATCTTCTTGTTCTAAGAGTTGAAGATCATCTTGTTTCCTAAAATCTGGATGTTATTAATGAGCCAATGTTATTTCTGAAATAATATCCAGTAGTAATAAGTTGCATTATTGGATTATCTGTGATGTTTCTTTAGGAGTTTTGCATCTCTTTTTTGCAATATTAGTTTAATACTTCTAACCAAATTTGTCATGTTTTGGTAAAACACGTTTACTTGTCTTTGTGAGGTACAACCCGTCCTATGTTTGTAATCCATCAGTCACTAAATTTATGTTATGGTCCCAGAAATTAAATCTTGTCAACATCACTTGCATAGCTCTTTATGGCTTGTAGTCTTCAACTCCCAGAATTCCTGAGCCAGGAATTCTGGGAGTTGAAATCCACAAGTTATAAAAGGGCCATGGTTCCCCACCCCTGGCTTACAGTTTCCTTTTTTCCCATTTTTGGTCTTCTATGACTGAAAGAGATCATATGAACCATCAAGTTCTTGAGCTTTCTTCTTAGAGCTTCAGAGTTCATAATGGAGGATGTTACTGTTCTTTGCAGCATTGCTTGTTCTGATACGATTTAGTGGAAGGTTGTAATTATTAAAGAACATGGTAAGAATTGGAAATTCACATTCATAATGTTCACAAACTGATGGGCTCATTCAGCATATCTTTTCACTCTGAAAAATAATGTCTCCAATGTTCTAATTTGTGCTAGAAGTTGGCATAGTTTTAAGCATCTGTTTTTCCATTTAGTTGGCAGAAAGTTGCTATGAGAAACTGTTCTGCTGTTACTGTTTGTGAAATGGAGCTCTGCAGTGACTTCTCATTAATGCACTTTAAGCAATGCATGGTAGTTAAATTTTTGACTGCTGAAGGAGTCCTTCCAGGTGAAATTCACTGCCAAACATAGATTGTTTATAATGATGAGTCTGCTGGGTGTGAATATTTACCTTAATGGGCCCAAGTAGATAATGATGGTGAACGAGAAGAACAGATTTGTGCAATCAAGAATGAAGTGGATGAATTATGACAGCAACTGATGAGTTTCACATTTAACTTGGTAGTTTACTCAAAGGGAAAATGCTGTCAAGCTTGGAATTTCACAGGAAGATGTGGTTCACATTATTGATGTTTTTCAGTACTGGAAGGTTTATACAAGATGGGTTCATTGCATACTGACAGTAGATATCCAAGTGTCAAGAGTTGAAATTTGCTATCAATTGCTGTCTTGCTAGAAGGATGAAGAAGATATATATATATATTTTGCAATATCATGGTTACAGCTTGGGTAGGGGATACAGATGCAGGATTATTGACATGGATTTCCTTAAGTGTAGCAGCTCTATCATTGCAACAAACATTTGAAACGCAGTTAAGCAGAATTTGGAAGAGCAAGACATTTTGCTGCAACATGACAACATTGTGCCTCATGCCTCATGAACCAACCAACATACAGATCAGACATGCCAGGAAACTTCTATCTTTTTCCACAATTTTTAAGGGCATTGGCTTGACCCATATGAAAAGGTAGAAAAGACTGTAAGAAGCTGGTAAAAAAACCAAGTGTGGAGTTCTTTCATGATGGCCCTTAGAAGCTTGTCTATGACTAACAGAAATGAATAGTGATGTGGATGATGTGGAGAAGTAAATACAGGGAACAAAAGAGCTAATTTCAAGGATTATTTTCCTGTTTCATTTATTAAGATATCCCTATTTAAACTAAAATAACAGAGGTGAATGCATTAAGTTCCATTCAAACTTTGTATTTGAGTTTGGGAAAATTAATTCTAATATAACATCATCCAGCAGAACCTGGATTACACATTTCAGTTGTGTGATTTATTGAAATAATATTAATCATATAAAAATCCCATGTGTTGTATATAGCCATAGAAATTGTATTCAGAAATACAGATAGTGATGACTGTTAAACTGAAATATGTGTGATGAATATTTAATTTACTTTGCTTCTGGAACCTTTAACGTTAATTTATTGCTAAAATAGAATCTTAAGCATGGAAGCAAAGTCTTCAGACACTTAAAATGTGCAACTACACACTATGAATATATCTAAAGTTTGGTTGTTGTTTCTTTGGGGCATCGGTTAAAGCTCACCTTCTTTTTAAAACTTCATTTTACAGAGAACTACTCACACTTACCAAATGTTTCATGTTCCAATATAAAGAATGTCAAGAAAAGGCAAGGGGGGGGGGGAGAGGAGTTGAACTCAGAAAGAAAATTGAGATATTGGTCACACTAATTTCCTTATTCAGATCTGCCTAATTACCATTTTCCTGGGCCCTCAGCTTGGAAATGCCTATGGATAATATATGAAGTGAATCAAATAAAAGGAGGGATTGCAGCCACACCCATAGGAGGGAGGGAGGAAGGGAGGACTGGATACTTTGAGAGTACATATTTTGCATTGGTACAATAAATCTATTTGGAAAAGATGCTTAAGAAGTTGAAAGCCAGTGTCCTTGAACACTGACAAGTATTTTGGAAAATGAACTTTTCCATAGTTGCTATGGATAAAGTATCTGAATACTGAATTCCTCTTTTGTTTGAACTTTGGGCATTGAGAGCACTGTGAGAAATCTTTTTTCTTCTGCATTTATGGTCTTCTGATATCATCTCTCAGGATCTTGGCTGAAAACCTCTAAATGTTCTCCCAGTGTGTGGTAATTTTATATATGTTATATATTTCAAACCACACAAAAGAAAATACATTTTGGCCTTCATCTTAAACCGTCTTTGCTGGCTTAAAAAATAAGGTAAGGATTAGGATTTGG